CTCAGTGGTGTCGCCCGCTGCGCGCACAGATCTGTTATTGTGCAGCGCTGCAGAACACACAGACACACACAGACACACACAGTGTGTGGGAGCCGCGCTGTCATCGTCACTCAGGAAACGAGGGCGCTGGGGACGAGCGAGCGAGCGCAGGATAAAGGCAGTCGGCGGGGAAACAGGACTGAGACGGCCCTCTCGTCTCCGTCTCACAGCCCGTGTCCTCCATCCTCAAAGGAAGAGGAGAAGAGGAGGACGAGCGCCCTCCCCTCGCTCACAGCACAGCGCTCCGGAAACACAGAGAGAGAAGAGAGAGAGTGTTTTATTCGTCCCTGCTTCTGCTCCGGTCTTCTCTCGGGAGCGAGCGGCTTGCTCATGTCCGTCAACTCAGAAAAATCATCTTCCCCAGAAAGGTATGGCGTCTCGCCACATCATCTACCTGTCTGTCCTCCATCTCTCTCTCTCTCTCTCTCTGTGTCCTCCATCTCATCCTCATCTCTCTCTCTCTCTCTCTCTCTCTCACTTTACTGTCTTCTGTTGTGTGTTTGTGTTTTGCCTGATATCAAATGCAAACACAGAGAAGTGCTGTAAAACACACACACACGGGTCTGGATTCTGCATGAGTGTTTGGCGTCCACAGAGCATCACAGTGTCTGATATACGAGCCGCTCCACTGAGGCGATGTGCTCGCTGCTGTCTTCATCATCACTGCTGTTATATAGGCCATCGCAACCGGATCACAAACCCCCCCAGCCATCGCTTCTTTATGAAGACCGAGAGAGATGCAGCGCAGTTCACAGCGCCACACTTACATGCGTCTGGATCCAGTAAACAGCACATGTGCCGTGAGCAGGTCAGTGTGGAGTCTCCGGAGGAACTGCTGGATCGGGGATTGTGGGATTGTGTGTCCGACGTGGCCTGGATGCTGTGTGTGTTCATGAGGGAGGAAGGTGTGTGATATGAGTCTGACAGACAGTAGGGTAATGTTTCGCACCCTGCAGAATGACGGGATCTCAGAGGATGTTTGTCTTCTCTATATTATGTGAAGATTGAACTTGAAAATGTTTTCAGAGGTCATTAAAGTGAACATGAGCATCCTCTTCATCAGATCTGTGTGACTCGAGGCGTGGATGGTGATGGAAAACTGACCCAGCGAGCGCTTGAGCTCGGACCCGGCTCGGCCTCTGCGTGTCTAGAGGAGTGTAGACGTCTATGACAGATCTCAGACCTGTGCCACACAGCGTATCCATCAGACACAGGGCCGAGAGGAGCTGCGGACTGACTCTGAAGATCTGCATGCACACACGGTTCTGCCTGTGGATCTCTGCTTTCTAATAAGGGTCTCCGCTCACAAACTGTGTCCCATCCAGCGGCCCTCGAGTCACAGCCGTTATACTGTGAACATCCTCTGTTTTTGAGCCGGTCTGACCAGAACTCTCCAGATTGTGTGTGTGTGTGTGTAACACACAGCAGAGGCTCTGTGAACGGATTGCAGGTTTGCACCCCTGCCTCGGAGGATCTACCCATGTGTTTCCCAGTGACGGCCACAGATTGTGGGATCATCAGACGATCAAGGTTTAGGACAGCACTTTCTGTCTCTCTGACGCGATTCGTCTCACGTCATGTGATCTCTGTTCGTGGAAATGACACCAGCTCACAGAGGCAGTCTTGATGTACGTGTGTGTGTGTGTGTGAGAGAGAGTGAGTGAGTGAGTATGTGCATATATGTGTGTGTGTGTGTGTGTGTGTGTGTGTAAGAGTGTGTGTGTTTCAGGACCCACCCATGAACCCTAACCCGAACCGAGTTTATATTTATAGAGTTATAGAGTTTCTAACCCTAACCCTAATCATACTCTAGATCTAATATTGTCATATAAACTTAATTTAGCCAATTTTCAACCCTATTCGAAAAAAAACGAACACAAACATAGGTATTTATTTTAAACAGTTACCAAAATAACGAGAAATAAAGCTTCTACTTCTGAAGTTTTCAAACAGCACAGCAACAATGACTACGACTTTTGTCATTGATAGTGTATAAATATAAATATAAAGGAAGGTGACTTGACGTGTTTATTTTGATATTTGTCAAGTTAATGGACTTCTTTTGCTGATAATTTCCTCACCCCCGTGTCATCCAAGATGTCCATGTCTTTCTTTCTTCAGTCGAAAAGAAATAAAGGTTTTTGATGAAAACATTTCACGACTTTCTCCATATAATGGACTTCAATGGGGACCAAACGGTTCAAGGTTCAAAAGACAGTTTCAGTGCAAACTGTTCAAAGGGCTTTAAACGACACCAGTCGATGAATAAGGGTCTTATCAAGCGAAGCGATCGCTCATTTAAGAAATAAATAACAAAGTTTAAGATTTATAAGCTCAAATGCTCACCTTGCTCTGTTCTGTGATGCGCTTTCGTGACTCTCCTGTTTGAACTCGTTCATCAAAATGAACAAATCTTTTTTCAAATAATTTCGTTCATTTTGTTCATTGAATGAACGAAAAGACTCGAAAAAAGATTTGTTTGAACTGGAGAGTCTTAACCCTTATTCGTCGTCTGGTGTCGTTTAAAGCCCTTTGAACAGTTTGCACTGAAACTCTCATTTGAACCCTGAACCGTTTGGTTCCCATTGAAGTCCATTATATGGAGAAAATCCTGGAATGTTTTCATCAAAAACCTTCATTTCTTTTCGACTGAAGAAAGAAAGACATGGACATCTTGGATGACACGGGGGTGAGGAAATTATCAGCTAAAGTTTTTTGAAAAGTGAATGAATGAATAGTGGTTTATTCACATACACATACATATATTCATATGCACTTGCAATATAACATAGAACAAGAAGTGATCATATATGTGAACTGGTCCCCAAAGAAACTATCTAAGCTTATACTTGGGGCCATTACAAAAAAAAAGAAAGAAAAAACAAAAACAAGAAAATGCATGGCCTACATATAAGTGTGTGACACTAGATCTACTCCTTTAAGGGTGTTTTCATACTGTTGGGGTCTGAGCAGGTTCTTTTAAAGAGGACTCAAAAGTGAAAACACTCTCCAGTGAAGATGTGTGACTGCTGTTGAAAGAAGCATTGAGGTGTTTGAATCACTAAACCGCTGTGTATGATTTATATCAGCGTTATATTGATGTCTCTGCTATCTAGACATCAGCGTCTGCCACTGGAAAACATCTACTGACACACGTGGAAATGACGAGAACATTGATAGTGTGTGAGTGTGAATTCTTGACTGCGTGTGAGTTGGTCATGAGATTCCTGGAGTCACTCTCGTTCCCTGAATGCTCCACTGAGACAGACACACACACACACAGAGAGAGAGAGACACAGAGAGAGAGAGACGTTTAGCAGATATCCCTCCATCATTATGGATCACAGTTACTCTCACTCCAGCGGGATGTTTGGTTTAGCGCTCAGTGCACTGCGATTACGACATCGAGCCAAGCACAGGTACAGTGCGTGTTTATCGCTTCTTATAGGCTACATGGGATCTAACCACAGCTCATCACAGCCAATCAGATTCACTCAGACACATCACTAATCTGCATGTTGGAGTCTTAAAGGCACAGATATAAAAACAGCCTGTTTAAGAGTGTGAGTTGTAAAAAACGACAAAGATCTCACTGTGTGTGTGTGTGTGTGTGTGTGTGTGTGTGCGCGCGCGCCTGCGTTCATTATGGACTCATTCGATACACAATGGTCAGAATGTGACACACTGCCTGTGAATGTGTGTTAGGGGTGTGAACTGAAACGCTAAACTATATTTGTTCACATTTAGTTGAGAGAACGTTAGTGTGTCTGCATGTGTGTTTACTGTTTAATTCTTAAAAAATAGATTTTATATCAAGCCGGATTCTTGATACATGTCTGTAGTTACTATGGCAACAGGATGAAGGTGTTCTGTGCGCTTTGAGACGGTGTCTGAACGCTGTGTGTGTGTGTGTGTGTGTGTGTGTGTTCTTGTAGGCCCGACGCACAGAAGGTTCCGTCCACTCCTCCCCCTCCCCCTCCTCCTCCCCCTCCTCCTCCTCCTCCACCCCCCCCACCCGAGCCCGTGGCCCCGTCGGAGCCGGAGGAGGAGATTCTGGGCTCTGATGATGAAGAGCAGGAGGATCCGGCCGACTACTGCAAAGGTACCACATGCATCAGTCTGTCTGTCTGTCTGTCTGTCTGTCTGTCTGTCTGTCTGTCTGATTGTCTGATTGTCTGATTGTCTGTCTGTCTGTCTGATTGTCTGATTGTCTGTCTGTCTGTCTGTTTGTCTGTCTGATTGTCTGATTGTCTGTCTGTCTGTCTGTTTGTCTGTCTGATTGTCTGTCTGTCTGTCTGATTGTCTGTCTGTCTGTCTGTCTGTCTGTCTGATTGTCTGATTGTCTGTCTGTCTGTCTGTCTGTTTGTCTGTCTGATTGTCTGATTGTCTGTCTGTCTGTCTGTTTGTCTGTTTGTCTGATTGTCTGTCTGTCTGTCTGTATGTTTGTCTGATTGTCTGATTGTCTGTCTGTCTGTCTGTTTGTCTGATTGTCTGATTGTCTGTCTGTCTGTCTGTTTGTCTGATTGTCTGATTGTCTGATTGTCTGTCTGTCTGTCTGTCTGATTGTCTGATTGTCTGATTGTCTGTTTGTCTGATTGTCTGTTTGTCTGATTGTCTGTCTGTCTGATTGTCTGTTTGTCTGATTGTCTGATTGTCTGTCTGTCTGATTGTCTGATTGTCTGTTTGTCTGATTGTCTGATTGTCTGTTTGTCTGATTGTCTGTTTGTCTGATTGTCTGTCTTACCCAGTCTCTTTGTCTGTCTGTCTGACTGTCTATCGGGTCAGAGGTCACTCGCTGGGTCAGAGGTCATTGATAGTATACTTGTACTTACTGAGAGGAAAGCATGCAGCAAATATTTACATATTTATATTCATCTAAAAACTTTAAAGTAACAGCAGCCTAATAGATCACTCACTGCTCTTGCCTGAATAACTTTTGTCGCTTTTAATAAATATCGGTGTGTGTTTAATTTCAATCAGAGAACACCCTGCAGTGATTTCTTTGAGACATTTCAAGTGAATTATCGTTTTCAATTTTAAAATTATTTTGCCCATCTGATTATTGGTTCTGGTTATTGGCAGTTATTTCAGCCTTCCGTCTTTTTTTCTGTCCTCTCTCTGAAGCTGAAACATTGCATGTGTTTAATAAGGCTGTTATTTGTAATCATCTAATCTAGTGCTAATCTAGTTATATTGGTAAACCGGTTCTTCTAGAACTCTTGTTTACATCACACACACACACACACACACACACCGCAGTGTAGAGACGAAACACACCGTGACAGAATCCCGTGCTGGAAAGCTGTTAATAAGCGTGAGTGCCGGAGGAGGATACCTCTGAGGAGCTGAAGGAAACTGGATCTGGATTCTCCCGTTTCATCGCCGCTCTCGTGTTTCTGTGTCGCAGGAGGATACCATCTGGTCAAGATCGGGGACCTGTTCAACGGCAGGTACCATGTGATCCGCAAGCTGGGCTGGGGCCACTTCTCCACCGTCTGGCTGTGCTGGGACATCCAGTGAGTAACGGCAAACACTCACCTGACTTATGAATGGGAGAGAGTGCGATGCAGAATAAGCCCCGCCTTCTACTTTAAACAGCCAATCGCTGATTGGTAAAGTCCTCACGTCACTGCAGCTGCTGTTGCTATAGAAACAGTTATTATTCTGAGATGCACCTGAAAAATAAGCATTTGAGCAGAAGAAACACCATCTATGAAACAGTGGTTGTCAGATTTCATTGGTGATTCCAAATATGACATTTAAATGTAAACAGTATGTAAAACAGTAAATGTAAAATGTAAATGTGTGTTAACAGAGTGAAGCGTTTTGTTGCAATGAAGGTTGTGAAGAGTGCACAGCATTACACAGAAACGGCACTGGATGAAATTAAATTACTCAGATGTGTGAGTACCTAACACACTCACTCTCTCACACACACATTCACAGACACACACACTCTCACACACACACACACACACACACACACACACACATACACTCACACAAATGTGACACGAACACTGGAGTCAGACATGCCTTGTTTCCTTCCTTTACACACACCTCTCCCTCTATCAATTCAATTCAAATGAGCTTTATTGGCATGACTGTAAAATAGCACAATATTGCCAAAGCAATAGTAATATATAAAAATATGTGTTCTCTCTCTCTCTCTCTCTCTCTCTCTGTCTCTCTCTCTCTCTCTCTCTCAGGTGCGTGAGACAGATCCTGATGATCCTAATAAGGACATGGTTGTTCAACTCATAGATGACTTCAAGATCTCGGGGGTGAATGGGATTCATATCCTCCCAGTGTGTGTGTTTGTTGTTGTTCTCAGGTGTGTGTGTGTGTGTGTGTGTCAGTTGTTGTTTTCTTTAACTCTGGTTCTCAGATGTGTGTATGGTGTTTGAAGTTCTTGGTCATCATTTGCTCAAGTGGATCATCAAGTCTAATTATCAGGGTTTGCCATTACCCTGCGTCAAGAGCATCATAAGACAGGTAACCATACTCACACTCCCTCACTGACCCCAACTGACCCACACTGACCCTCACTGACCCCAACTGACCCACACTGACCCTCACTGACCCCAACTGACCCTCACTGACCCCAACTGACCCACACTCCCTCACTGACCCCAACTGACCCACACTGACCCTCACTGACCCCAACTGACCCTCACTGACCCCAACTGACCCACACTGACCCTCACTGACCCCAACTGACCCACACTGACCCTCACTGACCCCAACTGACACCCACACTCCCTCACTGACCCCAACTGACCCTCACTGACCCCCACACTGACCCCAACCGACCCCCACACTCCCTCACTGACCCACACTGACCCCAACTGACCCACACTGACCCTCACTGACCCCAACTGACCCACACTGACCCCAACTGACCCACACTGACCCTCACTGACCCCCACACTCCCTCACTGACCCTCACTGACCCCAACTGACCCCCACACTCCGTCACTGACCCCAACTGACCCTAACTGACCCTCACAGCGTTCTGACCCATGCATGAAACCTCAAGTGTCTGGCATCGAGTAAAAGTGAAGTGCTTCATGAAGCCACAGAATCAGAATATATGTGATGCTTTATTTTCAGCGGATGGTTTTCACTGTGGGCGGAGCTATGAGATCATCCGTCCTTGCACACCGAGTGTAATTGTCAAAACACCTCAAAACGCTTCGGGTGCGGAAAACGCAGTCAGATTTTCTTATGATGGAAGAACGTTTAGCAGTCAGTGTGTAAACGTGATGGACAACGCGGGGTCGTACTTATTTTTTATCCTGCAAAAAATTCTGTCAGTGGACAAGGACTAAAATGTGTGTGTGTGTGTGTTGTGGCGGTTAGCACAGTTATGAGCATGAGACGTCATTCAGACGAGGGCCTGACGTGCAAGTGTGTGTGTGTGTGTGTGTGTGTGTGAGTGTGCAGGTTCTGCAGGGGCTGGACTACCTTCACAGTAAGTGTAAGATCATCCACACGGACATCAAGCCGGAGAACATCCTGATGTGTGTGGACGAGGCCTTCGTGCGCAGGATGGCAGTCGAGGCCACCGAGTGGCAGAAAGCAGGAGCGCCTCCTCCCTCAGGATCCGCCGGTACTCCTCCGTTCGTCTCCTCTGTTCGTCTCATCTGTTCATCCCTGATTCCTGTCATGATCCTCCACGTAATGAGTGTGAAACTGACTCTGTGTGTGTGTGTGTGTGTTTGTTTGCAGTCAGCACGGCTCCTCAACTCAAACAGGTCAGTGAAGCCGTTCCCACACACACACACACACACACACACACATGCAAACATTCATATATACATATATATATACACACACAAACACACACAGCTGCTTCACATCCTCAGCACATCGGCCGTCTACATATTACACATAGGAACATATTTATCCAAGAAGCACCGTTTATAAGGCTTTAGTCACACCAGCTCTCTAGCTCTGATCTGTAGGTTTAATTTTTTATAGTCTGTAAGAAACACATGAAATCCAGCTTTTACAAAACTATTATAATGAAACGAGCATATCACGATGGCAGCAGTATTATAGGGAATAACCAACCTGCAGTTCCTGTAGTAAGTGTAGTGAATGAGCTGATATTGAGGGGAAGAGTCGAGGAGTATGTGTGTGTGAGCTGTTCGCTGTGGTGTGCGCCTCCTACAGGTGGGGAAGATTTCCAAAAATAAGAAGAAGAAGCTGAAGAAGAAGCAGAAGCGTCAAGCAGAGCTGCTGGAGAGACGCATGCTGGAGATCGAAGCTCTGGAGCGAGAGGCGGAGAAACAGAGAATGGGTGGAGCCTCAGACTCCGCCCCCAGCCCCGCCCTGGCGCTGGCAGACAGTGAGGAAGAGGAGGATGAAGAGGTTGATGAGGACGAGGAGGCCGAGGGAGAGAAGGAGAGGCCTGTCAGACTCACCAACCACACATGTGAGTGAGCCTGTACTACATCAGCGATCAGTCACACGTGAACAACAGCATCTTTCCTTTCTTTTCATTTAACTTTCGTTACTGTTCATCGTTGGACAGGAGCAGATCCAACGTACATGCATCTATATACTGTATACTGGATACATGCACTATATTGCCAAAGCATTAAGAGTTCCTTTCACTGGAACCCAACCCCTGAAAAACAACCCCACACCATAATCCCCCCAGGACTTCTGTGATAATTCCAACTATTGTATCACAGAAATATTGATGCTATGACGTTGAAAAGTAGCAGTCATCTGTAATGCACGAGCTAACCTGGTAAAAGCTCCTGAATTACAAGAAGATGCCACAATGTTTGTCTTGTGGAATCAAAGGCCTCATGTACGTCTGTGTTGGTTTAGCTTTGGCTGATGTACTATGAGGATTGTTCTGAGTTTTTTTTGTAATTCTTTACAACCGAAAAGTGTGGTTGTGTGTTTTTGAGCCGATGTCTCTGTCTCTCAGGTGCAGAACCGGATCAGGACCAGCAGGAAAGTGAGGAGAACGAGGAAGAAGAGTCACCCACACATACTCCACCCAGACGGCAGGAAGAGCGGGAAAACTCAGGACAACCAGAAGAACAGAAGGGAAATGAAGATGCGGGAGAGGAAGAGGAGGATAAAGCCGAGGAAGAGGAAACAGAAGTCACGCCCACACAGAACACCACAGATGAGCTGAAGACACAGGAGAGTACGGACCAGGGAGAAACTGAGACGACAGAGAGACAAGAGGACGAGGACGAGGATGAAGAAGAATATGATGATGAGGAGGACGAGGAGGAGGACGAGGAGGAGGCAGACGATGAAGGCCAAGAGCACAATGACTGCTCTAAGACTAATGGTCATGTGATCATGTGTGTGCAGGAGCATGAGTCTCCCAGCATGCCTCAGTCTTCGCTCCTCTGCCCTCTGGTGGAGTCGGAGATCAGCACGACCGACCGCGAGACTTCCGATGCCTCCCACGAGCTTCCCAACGGAGAACCCGGACTCCCCAATGGAGAACACAGACTCCTCAACACAGAACCCGGACTCCCCAACGGGTCTCGGCACCGGGGCACCACCCCCCGCTTCCCAGAGCTCCCGCTGGACCCCGCGCTCCCCGAGGACGAGGACGAGGCCCGGGCTCTCAGCGGGAATACTGACCGCAGCAGAACAGTGTCCTCGTCCAGCACTGGGGACACGCCCAGAGGTCGGTCACTCACACACACACACACACCCCGTCTATGTTGACATGCAACCTAATAATCCATTAATAATGGGATTGACGGCTCAATCGGACTGACAAGCCTTCATATAAACTTCCCAGTTATTCCTTTTCTGATCCGATTGAGAGAACATGTAAACACTGGATCAGTTGAAAACCGAAACTGAAAGGAATGTGCATGTGAAATGACGTAGAAATAGCGTAATGACGTGTGATGCACGAAACAAGCTGCTGTTCCTGTTGAATAAAGTGTCCATGAGTTTCCCATCATTCTCCTTTCACTCCTCATTGTCTGTGAAGTGGAGGAGGACAACGGACCCCCAGTGATTGTTTTCAGTTCACAGGCATTTTTAGTGCGTGATAAATATAAGTTTCATTGATACATTTATAAATTCAGATGCTCAATGTCTCCAAATTATGACCAAAAAAGGATCAATATTAATTATTATCAGTATTAACCAATGTAGGGGAATGATTATTATGCACAAACAGCGGGAAACTCTGTATATTTGTGCAGTTCCCGAATTGAAGCTTGTGACACAAACACACACTCATCAACCCGATGTTTAGCATTCATGTAAACACTACTTTCGGGTTCATCAATCAGGAATTCAGTCCGATTGAAAGCAAAGTTGTGTATGCAAACGTAGCCAGTGACACACACACACACACACTGCTGTATGTTGACTAATACACACTCCGTCTGTCCTGCAGCGAGGGTTCGAGCGGCCGATCTGCTGGTCAATCCTCTGGATCCGCGCAACGCAGACGTTCTGAGAGTCAAAATCGCTGACTTGGGCAATGCATGCTGGGTGGTAAGATGCTTTAATGTGCATATGAGTGTAAGTAGGTGAGCTGTGTGCAGATCTGAAGTGTGATTGTGTTGCCAGCACAAGCACTTCACGGAGGACATCCAGACGAGGCAGTACCGGTCCGTCGAGGTCCTGATCGGTGCGGGATACAGCACTCCAGCCGACATCTGGAGCACAGCCTGCATGGTGAGCGCGTGTGTGTGCGTGTGTGTGCTTGTGTGTGTGTGTGTGTGTTTTAGAACGCTTCATCACCTCTGTGTCCACAGGCGTTCGAGCTCGCCACCGGAGACTATCTGTTCGAGCCACACTCGGGGGAAGACTACTCTCGGGATGAAGGTACAGATGTTTACGCTCCTCTGCATGGAGGATAGCAGCTGCACATTCACATTCATACAGACTGATTGAAGAATCTCTCATTCTGTCAACATTGTCAAGCATTACACCAGTGACCAATCACAATCAAGCATTACACCAGTGACCAATCACAATCAAGCATTACACCAGTGACCAATCACAATCGAGCATTACACCAGTGACTAATCACAATCGAGCATTACACCAGTGACTAATCACAATCAAGCATTACACCAGTGACCAATCACAATCGAGCATTACACCAGTGACCAATCACAATCAAGCATTACACCAGTGACCAATCACAATTGATCGTTAACTCCAGTGATCGATCACAAGAGAGCATTACACCAGTGACCAATCACAATTGATGGTTAACTCCAGTGATCGATCACAATCCAGTGTTACACCAGTGACCAATCACAAGAGAGCATTACACCAGTGACCAATCACAATTGATCGTTAACTCTGGCAGTGATCGATCACAAGGGAGCATTACACCAGTGACCAATCACAATCGAGCATTACACCAGTGACCAATCACAATTGATCGTTAACTCCAGTGATCGATCACAAGAGAGCGTTACACCAGTGACCAATCACAAGGGAGCATTACACAGAGACGGTCATCCACTCTTCAGCCACTCTGAAGCACACATGCGGCCGATGAGGTCATGTGACACTAGGATTCCATTCTGAACATTATTTCGCTCTGAACCCTGTTACTCTTCGCTCTGTTCTTGTCTGTCGCTCAAGATGAAGTTTAAAACCCAGCGTCAGCGTTAGAGTTCAGAGGTCAGACCGTGTGTAGAGTGTTTCTGGCTGATCTAAACTCCCGGCTCTTCCACTTTCTGTCTTTTCCTGCCACTTTTCCCTCCTCTTCCTCTTTCTGTCTCCTGTAGATCATATAGCTCACATCATAGAGCTTCTTGGCTGCATTCCTCGACACTTTGCTCTTTCTGGAAAATATTCCCGGGAGTTCTTCAACCGGAGAGGTAGTGTTAGACTGAGAGGGAGCGACGGATGTGAGCGTCCGCCACACACACACACACACACACACACACACACTGCCGTTATAGGGCTGGATTCTGAAGGGTCATGAAATGCATTTTCACACCTTTATCTTATTTTTTGAAGGTTATTTTTTCACCAAAAAGTTCCAACTATTCTTAGACCTGATTTTCATAAACTGGAGTAAACAGCCGCTGCTGTGATTGGTGAACTTCTTATATATGCAGATGTATTTCCCCCCTGGGATTAATAAATAAAGTAAATCAAAAAATTTCATAAACCTTTAATGGCAGACGTGTGTGAGCTGAACTGGTGTTAACCAGACATCAGTGTGTGTGTGTGTGATGGCCGACGTGTCCCTCCGTCCTCCTGCACCACTGCATGAATAACTGATGTTGTGTGTGTGTGTGTGTGTTTGGTGGTCAGACCACATCGCTCTAATTATGGAGTTGCTGGGAAAAATCCCCCGCAAGATCATCGCCGCCGGAAAATACAGCCGTGAGTTCTTCTCAAAGAAAGGTAACCGTAACTCTGCAGTCTGTGATCTGACTTCAGCACCGTCTCATTTACACCATCAGACCTGTAATCCAGCCTCTCAAATGGGTCTGCTTTGAGCTCAATAATGTGGGTGTGTCTAACGGCAATAATGTGGGTGTGTCTAACGGCAATAATGTGGGTGTGTCTAACGGCAATAATATGGGCATGTCTTATATTAATAAAGGGGGCAGGTCTTGCAGTAATAAAGAGGTGGGTCTTGCAATAAAAAGGGGGCGGGTCTTGCAGTAATAAAGGGGTGGGTCTTGCAATAAAAAGGGGGTGGGTCTTGCAGTAATAAAGGGGTGGGTCTGGTAATAAAAAGGGGGCAGGTCTTGCAGTAATAAAGGGCGGGTCTTACAGTAAGAAAGGGGGCAGGGATTCCAGTAATAAAGGGGCGGGTCGGTTCTTACAGTAATGAAGGGAGTAATAAAGGGGCAGGTCTTGCAATAAAAAGGGGGTGGGTCTTGCAGTAATAAAGGGGTGGGTCTTGCAATAAAAATGGGGCGGGTCTTGCAGTAATAAAGAGGTGGGTCTTGCAATAAAAAGGGGGCAGGTCTTGCAGTAATAGAGGGGTGGGTCTTGCAATAAAAAGGGGGTGGGTCTTGCAATAAAAAGGGGGCGGGTCTTGCAGTAATAGAGGGGTGGGTCTTGCAATAAAAAGGGGGTGGGTCTTGGAGTAATAAAGGGGTGGGTCTTGCAATAAAAATGGGGCGGGTCTTGCAGTAATAAAGAGGTGGGTCTTGCAATAAAAAGGGGGTGGGTCTTGCAGTAATAAAGGGGTGGGTCTTGCAATAAAAAGGGGGCGGGTCTTGCAGTAATAAAGGGGTGGGGCTTGCAATAAAAAGGGGGCAGGAAGCTTGCAGTAATAAAGGGCGGGTCTTACAGTAAGAAAGGGGGCAGGGATTCCAGTAATAAAGGAGCGGGTCGGTTCTTACAGTAATGAAGGGAGTAATAAAGGGGCAGGTCTTGCAATAAAAAGGGGGCAGGTCTTGCAGTAATAAAGGGGCGGTCTTACATTATTGATGGGGCGGGTTTTCCTGCAGCAGCTGATCTGGCGTCTCTCTCTGCAGGTGAACTGCGGCACATCACGAAACTCAAGCCCTGGACTCTGTTTGATGTGCTGGTGGAAAAGTACGGCTGGTCAGCCGAGGACGCTGGTCACTTCACACACTTCTTGTTGCCCATGCTGGAGATGGTGCCGGAGAAACGGGCCTCTGCTTCAGAGTGCCTCAACCACCCCTGGCTGAACTCGTAGCACTTCTGCCCCTCAGACTCACCCCTGTGGCCACATCCGGAACTGCAGCCCACTATCACTAGAGAACCCAGACACTTCAGAGATACGAGGGTGGGCTTCAACACACACACACACACACACACACACACACATAGGAGAAACAAGCCTGTCTTTATACCTGAAGCTTCATTCACCGTCTTCCTCCACCTCATTCAACAGAATTTTACACGCTGAACACAGAAAGTGAGATCATTTCACATTAACTGACAGATAAAAAAAAAAGACTTTTGACATTTTATCTGATATTTTTATGATTAAACATTTTAGATGTTTAATTTTAAGAAACGGGAGTGTTTTGGTAAGGTTTATAACTCGTGGAACTCAGTTTGTTCTTGAGGCCTTCAGTGAAACTGAAATGTCCTAGAAAAACAATAATTTACACAAATGAATTAATTCACACAGAGATTAATATATAGATATTGGTCTCAGTGACTGAATCTGAGAGTTACTGTTACAACAGTGTGTGTGTGTGTGTGTGTGTGTGTGAGAGTTGATGTGTCTGACATCCAGGAAGCCCACCTGAGACACTCTGCATGAAGCCCCGCCTCCTCTCACCCTACCGTCCAATCAGTTTCTGCAGTGAAGCGGTTTACCTCACACACACACACTGGCTCTGGAAAGAGTTTGTGGAGAGACGCCAGAGACGAACGGATGGATGGACATTTCTGTGTTCATGCCGTTGAGTTCCTCTTCTGGTTTTATGTTTATACTCTGAGCTTTGATTACCCAAATCCCGAGGACAACATTCCTGACTGATTCTTCTGACTGTCGGCAGGACGGGGGTCTCGGGTTCATGAGGACGCACTTGTGTTTGTTTGTACGTTTCGTTCAGGGAATTCATGTACAGAGATCCAGCAAACTGTCCAAAAACTCGCAACTGCTTGAGCGCAAGATAAACACGCATCGCTGTTTGGAGACGAGCATCGCGGTCGTCATAGAGACGAGTGACACGGCGGCAGTCGCCACAGAGACAGGCATCACGGCGGCGGTGTTCATGGAGACGGCATCATGACGGAGGTCGTCATGGAGAAGAGCTTTACGGCCCGCGGTCATCATGGAGACGAGGGACACGGTGGCGGCTGTCATGGAGACAGGGATCATGGTGCCGGTCGTCATGGAGACATGGACAATGCCGTTGCCTCCCACTGCTCATCATCATCATCATCATCACAGTTAGTCCAGTTGCCTATTTTCGCAATAAAGGTAGATGATGAAATATTTTTAAAAATAATTAAATTCGTTTTAACAGAAAAGAAGTTCTCGAATGTTGTGACAGTGACAGAGTTAGTCGTAATAAGGTGATTGTGTTTGGTCGACTTCCTGTTTTTGTTCGTTTTTATTGGCTGTCACTTCCTTAAGGATCATGTGACAGTCATGGACTTTATTGGACGTTTTTGCAATAATAGTGATTATGATGATGAATTTTTGCAGCGAAAGCCCCTGATGTGTCTCGCAGCCTCGCTGACTGTTCTTCCCAAAGCCCCTCGTTTTACATTGAAAGATTTAATAAAATTGTAAATTATTGGATCACGTTGCCTGAACATTTCCACTGTTCTTCTGGTCTATATTTCAGATATCATTCATATTTCCCGTCAGTATGAAGTGAAGCCGTTACAGTCTATGTGTCTTCCTCCACAGCAGGTCAACCGTGGGTCAGAGGTCAACTCAACTCAAGCAGAAATTAGTCAGACGCCTCTCAATGCAAACATGTTCAGTTATGAATGAGAAATATGGAAGTAAAATAATGACTAATGTTTTTGAAACAAAGTATTTTGAATAACACTACCTGAACAAATATGCATTGCATTAACCGTGCTTGCATTTTAAGGCTAATTAAACATGATTGTATATTTAAGCTGTGAATATTTAAATTCAAAAACATTTCACACACGTTTTCATCATTAAAAAAAATTCAATAATCCATATTCACCATTCAGATTTCTCTTCCAAAATGTTTGAAAATACAACCTATAATATTCGACAGGTAATTTTCAGTCCATTTTATTTTGCTTTACAAATTCAGTGGTTCAAATTGGACAGAAAATTCAACAGATTTGACATCCAAGAACAGCAGGAATATCAGTTGCCTCCATAACCTCCATCTGCTGTTAGCCCTTCTTACCAGCAGGGGGAGCCAGCACAGACCAGAGCAACGGGGTTTTACGGTTTACGGGGAGCAAGCGGACAGTTTTGTCTCATGACAAGAGTTCACAATGAATTAAAAGCTAAAGAAAAAAAAAACGGTTTTAAGAGAGGATTTTAACCCAGGCAGAGACCACAGTTTGAGATTGAGCCACTCTGATGTAAAGCGGACGGCTGTTCCATATAATATGAAGCATATACGGCTGTTTACACGCAAACGATTCTGAAGAGAAAACGAGACTAGCGTTTGGGGTGGGACATCATCCGCGTGCATGTGGTGATGCGAAAGTGCGTGAAATTCAATGTAGCATGTCCTCGACGGCTAAATGGCGATGTGAAGCACTACCACACAACACAAAGTCCGCACGCCTGCGTTCATTTTTACCCTTTAAACAGGAACGATGGAGTGTTTTCGCCGTGTGAAGGAAAAGCACATCCGATAAAATAGTTTTAGTTTTCACCCGCGAGCGTTCTCGTGTAAACAGGGCCTAATACACGGTTCTCCCTTCTAGCATAAAGAGGACTTGCAGAACACTGTACAGTGGACATGTGTGTGTCAGGCATGAATGATGCTTGAGACCATACACTATTTAGATAATTGATATTAAAATAAATGAGATTATGCGGTAGGCCTACTGAAAAAAACAAAACAATATTTAAACAATTTTAGTTTTTTTTATTAACGTTCAAAACTCTTAAAGGTGAGGCCTAACCCATACTGTACATGAACACGTACTGAAGTCGTCCTCTTCTGAAGCGGAAACGTGCAGCAATATCTTAATGCCATAAACCTCGAGTTGAACAATTGACATTTAAATGAACATAAAATGTTAAATTCTTTGTAAATATTGACAGTTTCACCAGGGAGTGGATTTATGGTTTTAATATTAAAGGAAGTATATTAACAATTAGGGATGTCAAATTACACGTACTGATTAATCTTATTATAAATCACATCAATATTTGCAGACAAAATAAAACCAAATGCCAGAAATACAGAATTCAAAGACCGTTGATTTCAGACTTTAGACGTCAATAAATCATAAATACAATCACTCATCAAAGATTGTAAAATGACACTCAGTGTTTCAGACACAGATTTTAAATAAGTTCAGTTAAGCTGATGTTTCACTCAGTGTTTATCGAGTAACTTTAGTATAAAGAGTAGATCCACTGATGCGCTTCGGCTTGAGGCTCATTAAACAGGAGAACACCAGGTGACACACACACATCAGACACTCACACACACACACCTGTCCATCATCATCAGACTCACACACACACACACCTGTCCATCATCATCAGACTCACACACACACATATTCACACTCCTCTAGGGGTCTTGAAGTTCATGCCGACAGGAGGCTGCGTGACCTGGAGAGTCGACAGGCTCCGAAAGTCCTGCGGAAACAGAACTGGATCAGTGACATCACAGTTCAACACACACACACACACACAGAACCGGGTCAGTCCATCCGATCTACAGCTGATCGATGATGACTGACAGAACTTGAGGTGGTGCAGTGGATAAGACACATGCCTTTGGTGTGAGAGACCCGGGTTCGAGTCCACTGTGAGACACCGATGTGTCCCTGAGACACTTGACCCCTAGTTGCTCCAGAGGCCTGCGACCTCTGACCTCATATATAGCAATTGTAAGTCTCTTTGAATAAAAGCGTCAGCTAAATAAGGCGCGAGGAGGCGTCGTACGATCATTTAAACGGCTAATGACGAGGTCGGTGAGGATGGGAAAAATCTTACATTTGTGCAAACTGCCCGTCGATTAAATAATTGTTGTCTGTGGTTGTACATGGGCTGTGGCAATAATAAAAATAAAAAAAGAGCTCACAACATATGGAAAAAAGAGCTATGAACTGAACTACTTCATTTTAAAATGTGTGACCTGAACTTTGAACTAGTTCATGTAGAAAGTGAACTTTCCCAACACTGATTATTGGGGACGCTCCTGAGATCTGATTGTTATTGCAGACTAGCGCACATATTAGTGTTAGATTAATTTGAATCTAAAGTCTATATAGAATTAATCTCAAATATAAGACATGTTCAGTTGGGGATGAGACTTATCTGGCAACATTTATTTTAAAGGTTATAAAACAGTCCGCATCACATAAATAAAATATAGATTAATCCTCAAAGCTACAAGCGTTCTTTAGTCAAGAGCGGTCAGTAACTGTTCTTTAGGCTAACTTTACTCAGACAGAACTTTACTCTCGTTCTCTCCACTGTTCACTTCCCTTTAAGACTTTATTGAACTCATTGAAGACTGTTCTTGAGGACGCTCGACAACACAGACATTTCGGCATAAACGTGTGTGTCACTGAGCACGAAAGAGAACTCGATACTGGCGCGCGTCCTTCTGTGATTCGCTGACAGCCCGTTGTCTTTTGTCTTGTTGCGCATGTATGGTTTAAAGCATTCGCGTGGTCATAATAAGAACCCTAGCTAGCGGATGAACGAAAGAGCGGATGCATTAAATATTTGAACACGTTAAATCTGGACAAAAATGAATCGGGCCGGTGCCGGACTACTGTAAGCCCTGCGCCCATATTCAGCACGAGGAGGACCCCTCGAACGGATGAAGCGCACACGCGAGATCCGGCCGCGCGAGCGCGTGTGATGCTCTGAACATTAGCGATTAGCTCAGCTGTGTGTTCTCCATTCATACGTTCATGTTTTCATGTCATTTTTATTTGACAACATTCATTTTCCTAACAGTCTAAACATTTCTTCATGATGAACACGCCCCCTGCACAAGCACTCGTTATTTGAGACCTGTTGGTGATAGAAATCGACAAAATTGCCCATCCCTAACAGCTGTGACCTCTGACCTCAGCGGTCACATGATCGGATCGACAGGTGTGTGCGAAAGATTCAGGGTTCGTCAGGAACAGAATCCAGCAAACACGGGAAACACTTTCAGTTTCTCTCCCTGTGCTTCGATGACCTGGAGACGACACTCCACAGTCACTTTCGAGACAGGTCACATGACCACCGCAGAGCATGATGGGAAGGCTCACCTCAGGCACGTAGCTGTCCCTGCGCTTGCACTCCTCCTGCAGTTTGATGGAGATGCCGCGCACAGGCCCTTGCTGGATGTGCTTCATCAGGTGCCTGCGGGGACAGGAAGTGACATCACCGTCGCCTGACATGAAGAAGAATAGGATCATCAGAACACAAACACTGATCAGGTTTTCAGCTGCTAGCATGACGTTGGAACAGCAGAGCAGGTGCTAATGCTAACGAGCTGTTGTGCGAAAGATTCAGGGTTCGTCAGGAACAGAATCCAGCAAACACGGGAAACACTTTCAGTTTCTCTCCCTGTGCTTCGATGACCTGGAGACGACACTCCACAGTCACTTTCGAGACAGGCCACATGACCACCGCAGAGCATCATGGGAAGGGTTAAAGTGACTCTTACCAGAAGCTTGAGCATCTCCTTGGAGTCTGTGTCGACCTCGATGATCTCCCGATCCAGAGCCGACACCTGCGGGAAACACATCACATGACCATCACACGCGAGCTAATACCACTCAATCACAACTTTAAAAACACTTAATTGAGATAAAGCTACAATTAAAAGATTGGTTGAAAAACTTGATTTCTAAACAATTTTACCTTTTACCTAGAAATCAATAAATTAAACTAGCAATAATTTAAAACAACTAATAAATGTGACAAAGCTACTAAAAAAGTAACTAACGAACATGTACACTAAATATAGAATGTGTACAAACATGAGAAGCTAAAGCTAATAAAGCTAAAGTACAGCCACGTCTGAAACCGCTCCCTCTACACTATATAGTGCACTAGAACGGCTGTCTGAGTGAACAATATTCATGCACTACTTTACCCACAATCCTCTCTGAATTCAAGTCTAAACTCGACGTACACTTGAAGCACAATTTCCCAGAATGCAATGCGAGAGGACCGAGCGCGATTACTGACAGCTTTCATATTTCTGCTTTAACGTTTACTCCATGCTAGGGTTATGGGGTTTCTACCTTTATTATTCAATACTTTAATAAAACATTAAAATATTGAGACAATATCATATAGATGCATTTTAAAATTGCTTTAATACAGTAAATGATATAATATCATTTTTTTTTTTTTAAATTGTAGCATTAGCTCAGTTGAAACTGTGTTTTCTAACAGCCAGGTGTTCTGTGTGCCGTTCTCTCGCTAAACTGAGGAGAGATGATCATTTGACGGGTGATTATTGTTGATTGATATTCATTTTTAATAAAGTAACAAAATAAAAGTAGTTTTATCACTCCGCGTGACAAAACCGTCTCTGCAATACGCCTCCTTCGCCCGCTTCACCTCTCATTCAGCTGCTAGCATGGCGTTGGAACAGCAGAGCAGGTGCTAATGCTAACGCTAACAAACGGTTGTGCGAAAGATTCAGGGTTCGTCAGGAACAGAATCCAGCAAACACGGGAAACACTTTCAGTTTCTCTCCCTGTGCTTCGATGACCTGGAGACGACACTCCACAGTCACTTTCGAGACAGGTCACGTGACCACCGCAGAGCATCATGGGAAGGCTCACCTCAGGCACGTAGCTGTCCCTGCGCTTGCACTCCTCCTGCAGTTTGATGGAGATGCCGCGCACAGGCCCTTGCTGGATGTCCTTCATCAGGTGCCTACAGGGACAGGAAGTGACATCACCGTCGCCTGACATGAAGAAGAATAGGATCATCAGAACACACAAACACTGATCAGGTTTTCAGCTGCTAGCATGACGTTGGAACAGCAGAGCAGGTGCTAATGCTAACGCTAGCGAGCTGTTGTGCGAAAGATTCAGGGTTCGTCAGGAACAGAATCCAGCAAACACGGGAAACACTTTCAGTTTCTCTCCCTGTGCTTCGATGACCTGGAGACGACACTCCACAGTCACTTTCGAGACAGGTAAAAAAAAAAAAAAAAAAAAAAAAAAAAAAAAGACAGGTCACGTGACCACCGCAAAGCGTGATGGGAAGGCTCACCTCTGGCACGTAGCTGTCCGTGCACGCGCACACACACAGAACACACACTCACAAAGTAGAACATACAGAATAGGATCATCAGAACACACACACACACAAACAGAAGAGCACCAGGCATCAATAACACTCACTCTGCAGCGCCTACACACACACACGGGTCTGCCGGCAATGGTGCATTATGGGCCGGGCAGAAGCGCTTTTAGATCTTTTTTTATTATTATTATTCAACAACAGAAAAAAACATGGTACATTAACACATCTCAGCAAATAACCTCAAATATACAGCCTACAGTTGAGCATCACAACAGAGAAGCGCTATTAGATCTGATCAGATGCATCGATCACTCACCAGGGGATCGCGCGCTTCATCCGTCCGTCATACTCGCACACACGCGCGCCACTCGGCCTCTACACGCAGCGCGAGGGTTCACGGTGACGCGCGGAACGGAACCGCCGGAGGATTGCAGCGGATTCGCGGAGAGACAGCAGTCGGACACCCACCATAATGATGCGGGGAGCGGAAGAGGAGGAAGAAGAGCGCGACCGGAAGCGGAAGAGCCGGACACGCGCGAGCGCTACTCACTGGCCTCTAGCGGTGGAGGAGTGACCCTTTTACTGTCTATGGTTTGCGGGCTGCTAAGCTAGCTAGAACAGTGTAGTTTGACTTTTTTCCGTTTTCCTACACATTCAGAGGGAACTACGATAAACATTAAATTACCATACCTCTCAGATCTACAGATGCAGCGTTTTTATCGTTGTTGCTGTTGTACTGTGACCTCCTCCTCCTCCTCCAGCGCGCGCATCTCATGGGTCACCTGATCAGAAATCAGCTCTCACAGCCTCAGCACGACCATTACTGTGTTAGTCAAAAACGTAAAACTGGCCGTAAATCAGTTGATCAGCTGTCATCATTGATTGACAGCATTTTCTCGTTTCTTGTGTTGACGAACTTAATAATAACTTAAATTTGACCAACTACCAATCAGATCTGGCCTGGGTGGCCAATGAGCTTTCAGGGGTGGCTGGCCCCTAGAATCCCCACTGTCGGGTGTGTGTGTGTGTGTGTGAGAGTGTGTCAGATTAGATCCAGTGAGTTCCTCCACTGAGTGTCTGTCAGTGATAGTAAACATTTAGCCAAATGATATACAGCCCGTTTTCGTATTATGAATTTATTTAGACACTTACTTTACTGAAGGTACAAATGCTAGGTAATTATTTTTTAAAGTTTCATTCACCTTATGCCTAGTATAATGAAAACAGCTTTGTTCATGTTTATTTCCCCCCCCCCTTTAATTACGTTATATGAATCATGCAAACCATAACCCAATTTATCAAAACATCATCATCTCTGCTCGTGTGTGATTGGAGGATCATCATCTCTGCTCATGTGTGATTGGAGGATCATCATCTCTGCTCGTGTGTGATTGGAGAATCTGATCAGTGGTTTAATGGATCGATCGCACCCAATCACTGGAGACACTCAAAATCTCTGAAAAACTCACTTTATTAAACTTCTGTACAACATGAACCAACATTCCAATAAAAATATTTACAGATGTACACTAAAAACTCATGAGAATTGTGGGATCACTCCTCCTCCTCCTCTTCATCATCAATGATGGGCCTGGACCTGAAACACAGAGATACGGATCAGAGACGTCAGTGGACCACAGAAACCCGGACCAGAGACCGTGTAAGACACAGACAGGAAGTTTGTCACTCACTTCCTGGGAGCTTTAGTGACGCCACTGCCGCCCGCCTCTTCATCATCTTCCTCAATGATGGGTCTTGATCTGGAACAGAGAAACACAGATCAGTGGATCACAGAAACACAGATCAGAGGCAGTGCAACACAGACAGGAAGTTCCTCACTCACTTCCTAGGAGCTTTAGTGGCGCTGCTGCTGCTGCCGCCCGCCTCTTCATCATCTTCATCTTCCTCATTAGGATGAAGGTTCTCCTTCTCGGGCTTCCGGCCGGGACCGCCGAAGAAGTCTCCAATGCCCTTCTGCCATGTGGGGGTGGGCCTGGGGCACACAGGGTTCCCTCCCGCGTACTTGCCTTTGGCTGAGGACACACACACACACACACACACACACGTGCATGAGGTCATGAGGTCATCTGAACTGCTCACAGAAACACATGCACTGAAATCAGCATGAGCGTTACAGTCTAAAAACTATTAAATATACATATCGTTCAGCTTGTAATAAAAATTAAAAAAAGTCCTTCAAGAGTGTGCGTCTGTGTGCGCGCACTCACCAGGCGTGCCCGACTGCGCGCCGCCGCTCTGCGCGTTCATAGATCCGGACGCGCCGAGGGACTTCCGGGGCGCGGAAGCTGCAACAGCTAAACACAAAAACACTTAAAAATCAACAAACCACATTTAATAAATCCTGCATAACACAAGCCACACGTCCAGGATGACATCACGTCCACTAGCGGGGATCCACGGCGTCTCTTTGTGACGCGACGCAGATGGTGAAAGTGGCGCCATTTTCTGTCACCGTTAAACTATATTATTAGACATAAATATTCATTCATATTCGATTCTATTGATCAAACAATAACAATGAGATCATTCGGGCTGTGAAAACATTCATTTAATAACTTATATCGCCAATATTAACATGAACATCAGGTGAAACACCAAAGCTCGCTAGACAACAGCTTCGCGCTAAATCAAGTTCTCCGATGAACATTGTTGATAACCGTATAAAAGCGCTGTTCCTCAGGGAAACCACACCAGTGCCGCGGGTTTAGTCACGGTGTGGTTTCGGCGGGAAATGAAAGATAAACACACTTACTCATCTTCTACTAACTTATACATCAACAAAGAAAGAAAAATAAACGGAACAACTGATAATAGTAAGTTAATAACAACAACAATAATACGATTACTACGAACGGATTTACCACAGGTTACCGTTCCTGCCGCAGGTTTGATCGGTCTGGGCGATATGAGCTGGTTTGCTCGGTGGTTCTTACCTTTCCTGTATGTCCCGGGAACACTATCCGCTTTAGTCCGCACCATCGCGCTCGTTCACAGCAGCTGAGCCGACCAAATAAAGCGCGCGATTCCCGCCTGCTTTTTAAAAGAGGAGCCGAATCTGGTGACGTCACGGGACGACAGCCAATAGCTGGCCAGGAAACTGGGGCTCGTGACTGCAGATTACGCCACTCCCATTTTAAAGGACAGAGGAAGCCTTACAAAAAAGTTACCATGGTAACCTGTTCACTGCATATACGTCATGCATGGAAACAGAGGAAATGCTAGTGTGTGTGTGTGTGTGTGTGTGTGTGTGTGTGTGTGTGTGTTATGATCATCTCCTCGTGTTTCTGCTGGTGTTGCTGATGTTCTGCAACTCCGTGTTTATTCACACACACACACACACACACACACACACACACACACACACACACACACACCTCGATAAACCTGTTCGTCATAGGTTTAAAGTCTGTAAGCGTTTTCCTCTCTCCGATTTTGTTGATCTCTCAGTCTCAGATCTCTCTCTCTCTCTCTCTCTCTCTCTCTCTGTGTGTGTGTGTGTGCTCTTTGACGACAATCTTTCATTTGAAAGTCACGTTTCTAGCATCTGTAAAACTGCATTTTCCATCTAAAAAATATATATATATAAATGAAGTCATATGCTCTCAATGACAAAAGTGCAACAATCAGCAGCGTTCATGACGTCATCAAGGCAAGATTATTGTAACGCTTAGTTAATAACTAATGATAATAACTTTATACTAGACCTGCTGTATATGGGGGTGGCGCAGTGGATTAGACACATGCCTTTGGTGTGAGAGACCCGTGTTCGAGTCCACTGTGAGACACCGATATGTCCCTGAGCAAGACACTTAACCCCTAGTTGCTCCAGAGGCGTGTGACCTCTGACCTCATATATGGCGATTGCAAGTCGCTTTGGATAAAAGCGTCAGCTAAATAAATAAAAATGTAAATGTAAAGCCTAAACACTTTCTGTTACTGTAATCTCCTGTTATCACTGTGTGTGTGTGTGTGTGTGTGTGTGTCTTCATCTGTGAGACTCTGATCAGTTTCATTCGGTTATGCAGCAAAACTCGTCCTGCATATTAAAGTTGATAACACACACACACACTTTTTATGATCAATGACACATTTATACATCAGATGTAGCAAATATTTTTTCTAAGAGTTTTAAAATAAAGTGTTTTAGATGATTTATTTAAACTCTGGTGTCTGTCCGTTTTCCAAAGAAAGGAATCCCAGCTATTGTCCAAGTATCATATTCATACTTTAAAAGCTGTTTCTGGGCTGAAAAGAAAACTGTTCTCAATGAAAGTCATCTGTTCAGGCTGTGGGTGGGGCCCCAGAGGCTCAGGGGCGGGGCCCTCGCTCCCCCTGTACAATCAGATCCCGGGGGCGTGGCCTCGGACCGCTGAGTCTTTGAGCTGAAGTGTGTGAAGCTGTCAAGCTGAAGCTGAAGTGTGTGTGTGAGGCTGCAGCGGTAAGATCCTGTTCTTCTCACTTTAATCCACTGCCAATATTTATTGCCTTTCCAGGAACGGATGTTTTAGTGTGAATTGACCATTTTAACAAACCTTTATCATCTGTATCAGAAATTCTGTGATTAGTTGAAATACAGTGTGAGGAATGTTCTCAATACACTGTTTGTCTTATTCGATACATCTCTATCAGAAAGAGTGACAGATGTGTGTCATTGATTTAAAAAACCTTTCATTGAATGTAAAGGTTCTGAATATGCGGACAGGCATGGTGATGAAAAACAATATGTATTTCAATGTTTTTGCGCTGCTTCTCTCAGGAAAGTGTCGCGTTCAGAAACTGCGCGCGCTCGCGGAGATCTCGAAAGTTTTGTGAGAGCGCGCAAAATCAGTGAAATATACGTTCCGCATCCTGATCCCATGGGTACACACACTTATAAATCATACGTTGTTGTTTTTTAATGTAAAAATGCAGAAAGTTTTAGGGGTCGGGATAGTGTGTGTGTAATGTATTTACAGTTTGTAAAATATAAAAACCATAATGCCTATGGAGATTCCCCACAAAGATAGCAAAGATAGACTTTGTGTGTGTGTGTGTGTGTGTCATCATCACTCTCTCTGCTGTAAACTCTATTGTTCCTGCTGCTGATGTCAGAGTGAGTCTGTTGTTCAGTCTGTACTGAGAGCTCATTGATGGTGTGTGTGTGTGTGTGTCGACAACTTGTATGTAAGTTGTATAGTGTTAGACCCTATACCGACTAAACTAGTGAAAGAGATGCTTCCAGAGGTCATAGATCCTCTTCTTAATATCATTAATTCGTCTTTGTCGCTAGGATACGTGCCAAAAACCTTAAGCTGGCTATGGTTAAACGAACCGCTTGTTAAAAATACGCAACTTGATCCTACAGAATTAGTCAATTACAGGCTGATCTCGAATCTGCCTTTTCTATCAAAGATACTGGAAAAAGCAGCATCCTCACAACTGTTCCTTTCTAGAGAGAAATGATATCGGTGAGGATTTCCAGTCAGGATTTAAAATATCTTTTTAGAATTTACCTTAAAAATATATCTAAATTACGACATATGCTCTCAATGACACATGCGGAACATACATCCATGCGTTCTTGACCTCAAGGCTAGATTATTGTAATGCTCCAATGGGTGGTTGCCCTGCACACTTAATAAACAAACTACTAGATACTAGAATATCTAAATCGACTGCAGGCGGGAGATCCTGTCCCTATTTAGCACCAAAACTCTGGAACAATCTTCCTAACATTGTCCAGGAAGCGGACACACTCTGGCAGATTAAAGCCCCGAGTCCAGTCGGCGGTCCTGAAGTGTCCCCAGTCCAAACAAGTAATTTGTTGAGGTCAATTTTTTTAAAAATTCAAGCTTTGGAAGCTTCACTGCTTTGTGCGAATGAGCGTCTGGATGGCGTTGAGGGATTTCTGTTGGAGCGGTGTGGTGTTAGCGGCCCCTAAAGCGCTATATAAATGAAGGTGACCTGACTCGTGTGTGTGTGTGTGTGTGTGTGTGTGCAGATGGAGTCCCCCAGACGCTCTGCTCCGGCTGATGGAGACTCGGGCTGCTTCGGGTTGAGGGTGCGGGTTCAGGGTGTGTCCGGTCAGCCCTGTGTGGTTCTGAACACCCAGAGGAACCTGGACTCTCCAGACTATCCGGACGTGTTCCCGATGGAGCCGCCATGGCAGCAGGAGTGTGTGTCCAGCATGAGCGGCGGGGCTTCGAGCGCTCAAACTCCACCGGACCAATCCAGATCCTCCAGATCCTCCCAGCACCCGTGGGCTCAGCAGAACCAGAGGAACCCGGAGACCCTCCGCTGGTCAAGCAGCCCGAACTCGCCCGTGGTGGTGAAGAGAGCCCGGATACCGGTGCCGGCAGCAGGATTCCCGGGTCCGGTGGTGGAGAGCGTTCCCTGCCGGCCGGCCCACATCATCAGCAGGGCGTGTGTCCCTCAGGAGCAGAACCCCAGCGGTTCCCCTCGTCACCACAGCAGAACCACTCCTGAGGAGAAGAGGCGCTCCAGGAGACCCTCAGAGAAGGGTGAGAACGGGCCGGAGATCCGGTTCAGTCAGCGCTAACTTCAGAAACCTGTCATAGTGTACCCAGAGCACGAGAATACACTACAGTAGTGCAGGAGTACGGTAATCATTAACCCTGTGTGTGTGTGTGTCCCTCAGGTCCAGTGAGGATGAAACGGCTATCAGGCGACAGGTTGAGCTGATGTTCAGAGCGCTAGAGGAGGTGAGCCGACATCTACCCTTTATCACACAGTATCAGCTGCTCTTTCTGTAGTAAAGCCATCATTAATAATGTTTATCGTTTTGATGACAGTTTTACTGTACTTACTGGAACTGCTGGTACTTTGACTCAAGTATTTTGGATGTAATCATGTAACAGACTAAATTAATATAAAATGAACTTATTAAATAAGTCATGGCAAGTAATTAAAAGTATACTAAAACGTAAACAAAAAAAAAGCTGTAAAACATTTATTTTTCCATACAACACGAAAAGGCCTTAAATACTGTATGTGTGAAATATGCCTTAAAAATCAAAAACCTCAAGAAATATTAAATAAAATACACACTTTGTGATATAATGAAATACATTATGAATGTTGCAATCAATAAATATAAGCATAATTGACCCTTCGCTAAGCCACGCCTGACAACCACCACTGGCCAATCGTGTCTTAGCAACCGTAACTATGGGCGGGAGGTCTGGCAAGCTTTCGAGCGAGGGGAACGTGCTGAAGCGTTGTGCGTATGGATTGTGCAAATCTGAGACCGGTATCCTCAACGTTTGGACGGGGGAGAGGAATTGTTTTCCTTCCGGAAAATCTAAAAGATGATGATGATGCGCGGGATCGAGCAGACCCATTCACGGCTACCGGTAAACGTCGACATGCTTAACAAAAACACCTATTGCTTGGAAATATTGACAGTTCTTTGGTCGTAATGATATAACGTAAAATAAGACGATTAAAGACAAGACAAAGGCTCACTGACATACTTTAAAATATACTTCTCTATTTTGTTAATCAACGTCCTACTAACGTTACCCCTGACTAAGTAACTTTAACCCTCTGACGCTCGTCTGACGTCACGCGTGTCATGTGATCTGACCACGTGACCTCGGCCATCAGCGGTCTGAGGCTCGTCTGACGTCTCTACAGAACCAACAGAGTTTGCTTGAGGAGAAGGAGGAGAGAGCGGCGGAGCTGGAGAGACTCCAGGAGGCGCTAGAGAGGAGTGAGCAGGAGCAGGTGACGCTGAGACACAAACTCACCGACATGGAGAAAGAGCTGCAGACGTCACTCGACCAGTGAGAATCCAAACTTCATACAGTCCAGATCTGACAGTATACGTGCAGTTCAGTTCTGCTGATCCGGTTCAGGAGCAGCCATGATGTTCTGTGTGTGTGTTCAGACTCCTCCAGGCCAGACGGGCGCGTGATCAGTGTCGCTCTGACATGAGAGATCTGCAGCAGCAGCTGTCGGACATCCACGATGAGCTAGACAGCGCCAAGAGCTGCGAGGCCGGAGAGAGAGACGGGCTGCTGCAGGTACGAGCTCATCTGAAGCCATGCTGGGGGAGAGATGCGTGTCGTCTCTCAGGAGCTGTGTGTGTGTGTGTGTGTGTGTGTGTGTGTCTCTGGAGCTGTGTGTGTGTGTGTGTCTCAGGAGCTGTGTGTGTGTGTTGTGTCTCAGGAGCTGTGTGTGTGTGTGTGTGTCAGGAGCTGTGTGTGCTGCGGGGCGAGTTCCAGGCGCTGCAGCTGCTGCAGGAGGAGCAGGAGGAGGTTTTACGGCGCAGGGAGAGGGAGCTGACGGCCCTGAGAGGAGCTCTGGAGGAAGAGATCTCAGCTCACGCCTCAGACCTGCACACACTGCAGGAGGAGCAGCAACAGGAGGTTCAGCAGCTGAGGGAGGCCACGGGTCAGGCCAAAGAGGCAAGCAGCTGGAGACAAACACTCACACAACAACACACTCACAACAACACACTCTCAACAACACACTCACACAACACACTCACACAACACACTCTCACAACACACTCACAACAACACACTCACAACAACACACTCTCACAACACACTCACAACAACACACTCACAACACACTCACAACACACTCACACAACACACTCTCAACAACACACTCACACAACACACTCACACAACACACTCTCACAACACACTCACAACAACACACTCACAACACACTCACAACACACTCACACAACACACTCTCACAACACACTCACAACAACACACTCACAACACACTCACAACACACTCACACAACACACTCACAACAACACACTCTCAACAACACACTCACACAACACACTCTCAACAACACACTCACAACACACTCACAACAACACACTCACAACAACACACTCTCAACAACACACTCACAACACACTTAAAACACACTCACACTAGGGGTGGCACAGTACAGGAAGAAGCATCCGAGCCGTTCGGTTCGCTTGTCTCGGTCAGGGGCGTGTGTACGTCTGACGGTTCGACGCATGCGCAGTGTAGCCTCGGGTAACCGGAAAAAAAGTAATCGGATTACAGTAACGCGTTACTGCCCGTCGGTGGTCAGAAGGGGAGCGAAATCTGATCGGCTTGTTTTTGACATGCTTGCAGAGAAAGGCTCGCCAGAACAAACTTACTGGGTTTCACTTTTCATGTTTTCTGGGTTGGTAGGAGCCCCGGGGACCCGATTACAGCACTTACACACGGGGATAGACACTTAGTATAAAGTATTAAGATTAAATTAATAATGGATTACTGCAGCCCATGTCAGTTGTAACCCTCCTCACGCTGTGTTTCTCGCCTCGACTAACATCTGTCCAGAGTGTGGCGCTGTTGGGTCGGAGGGTTCTGGAGGTGGCAGAGGAGAAAGAAGCGAATCAGACGCTGATCTCAGACCTGACGCACGCTAAAGCAAAGCTCCTGCAGAAGACCAGCGCTCTGGAGGAGCAGATCTCCTCACTCAACCTCCTCATCCAGCAGAAGGAGGCGCAGGAGACGCAGCTCAGAGAACACGCGGAGCAGCTGATGGTGAGATCAACATGCAATATACACTGACTGTACTGAGGAATGTACACACATCCCAACACCAACCTGTCAGTGACCATTCAGTGTTCAATCGAGCCTGTTGACCACGATCCTCTTTGAGATCATGAGCTGATTCAGCTGAGCGAGTCATGACTCAGTTGAAACAGTCTGAATGAAGCTTCTCTGGATGAGCTGATTCAGCTGAGCGAGTCATGACTCAGTTGAAACAGTCTGAATGAAGCTTCTCTGGATGAGCTGATTCAGCTGAGCGAGTCATGACTCAGTTGAAACGCCTGAATGAAGCTTCTCTGGATGAGCTGATTCAGCTGAGCGAGTCATGACTCAGTTGAAACAGTCTGAATGAAGCTTCTCTGGATGAGCTGATTCAGCTGAGCGAGTCATGACTCAGTTGAAACAGTCTGAATGAAGCTTCTCTGGATGAGCTGATTCAGCTGAGCGAGTCATGACTCAGTTGAAACGCCTGAATGAAGCTTCTCTGGATGAGCTGATTCAGCTGAGCGAGTCATGACTCAGTTGAAACAGTCTGAATGAAGCTTCTCTGGATGAGCTGATTCAGCTGAGCGAGTCATGACTCAGTTGAAACAGTCTGAATGAAGCTTCTCTGGATGAGCTGATTCAGCTGAGCGAGTCATGACTCAGTTGAAACAGTCTGAATGAAGCTTCTCTGGATGAGCTGATTCAGCTGAGTGAGTCATGACTCAGTTGAAACAGTCTGAATGAAGCTTCTCTGGATGAGCTGATTCAGCTGAGCGAGTCATGACTCAGTTGAAACAGTCTGAATGAAGCTTCTCTGGATGAGCTGATTCAGCTGAGCGAGTCATGACTCAGTTGAAACGCCTGAATGAAGCTTCTCTGGATGAGCTGATTCAGCTGAGCGAGTCATGACTCAGTTGAAACAGTCTGAATGAAGCTTCTCTGGATGAGCTGATTCAGCTGAGCGAGTCATGACTCAGTTGAAACAGTCTGAATGAAGCTTCTCTGGATGAGCTGATTCAGCTGAGCGAGTCATGACTCAGTTGAAACAGTCTGAATGAAGCTTCTCTGGATGAGCTGATTCAGCTGAGCGAGTCATGACTCAGTTGAAACAGTCTGAATGAAGCTTCTCTGGATGAGCTGATTCAGCTGAGCGAGTCATGACTCAGTTGAAACAGTCTGAATGAAGCTTCTCTGGATGAGCTGATTCAGCTGAGCGAGTCATGACTCAGTTGAAACAGTCTGAATGAAGCTTCTCTGGATGAGCTGATTCAGCTGAGCGAGTCATGACTCAGTTGAAACAGTCTGAATGAAGCTTCTTTGGATGAGCTGATTCAGCTGAGTGAGTCATGACTCAGTTGAAACGTCTGAATGAAGCTTCTCTGGATGAGCTGATTCAGCTGAGCGAGTCATGACTCAGTTGAAACAGTCTGAATGAAGCTTCTCTGGATGAGCTGATTCAGCTGAGCGAGTCATGACTCAGTTGAAACAGTCTGAATGAAGCTTCTCTGGATGAGCTGATTCAGCTGAGCGAGTCATGACTCAGTTGAAACAGTCTGAATGAAGCTTCTCTGGATGAGCTGATTCAGCTGAGCGAGTCATGACTCAGTTGAAACGCCTGAATGAAGCTTCTCTGGATGAGCTGATTCAGCTGAGCGAGTCATGACTCAGTTGAAACAGTCTGAATGAAGCTTCTCTGGATGAGCTGATTCAGCTGAGCGAGTCATGACTCAGTTGAAACAGTCTGAATGAAGCTTCTCTGGATGAGCTGATTCAGCTGAGCGAGTCATGACTCAGTTGAAACGCCTGAATGAAGCTTCTCTGGATGAGCTGATTCAGCTGAGCGAGTCATGACTCAGTTGAAACAGTCTGAATGAAGCTTCTCTGGATGAGCTGATTCAGCTGAGCGAGTCATGACTCAGTTGAAACAGTCTGAATGAAGCTTCTCTGGATGAGCTGATTCAGCTGAGCGAGTCATGACTCAGTTGAAACAGTCTGAATGAAGCTTCTCTGGATGAGCTGATTCAGCTGAGTGAGTCATGACTCAGTTGAAACAGTCTGAATGAAGCTTCTCTGGATGAGCTGATTCAGCTGAGCGAGTCATGACTCAGTTGAAACAGTCTGAATGAAGCTTCTCTGGATGAGCTGATTCAGCTGAGCGAGTCATGACTCAGTTGAAACGCCTGAATGAAGCTTCTCTGGATGAGCTGATTCAGCTGAGCGAGTCATGACTCAGTTGAAACAGTCTGAATGAAGCTTCTCTGGATGAGCTGATTCAGCTGAGCGAGTCATGACTCAGTTGAAACAGTCTGAATGAAGCTTCTCTGGATGAGCTGATTCAGCTGAGCGAGTCATGACTCAGTTGAAACAGTCTGAATGAAGCTTCTCTGGATGAGCTGATTCAGCTGAGCGAGTCATGACTCAGTTGAAACAGTCTGAATGAAGCTTCTCTGGATGAGCTGATTCAGCTGAGCGAGTCATGACTCAGTTGAAACAGTCTGAATGAAGCTTCTCTGGATGAGCTGATTCAGCTGAGCGAGTCATGACTCAGTTGAAACAGTCTGAATGAAGCTTCTCTGGATGAGCTGATTCAGCTGAGCGAGTCATGACTCAGTTGAAACAGTCTGAATGAAGCTTCTCTGGATGAGCTGATTCAGCTGAGCGAGTCATGACTCAGTTGAAACAGTCTGAATGAAGCTTCTCTGGATGAGCTGATTCAGCTGAGCGAGTCATGACTCAGTTGAAACAGTCTGAATGAAGCTTCTCTGGATGAGCTGATTCAGCTGAGCGAGTCATGACTCAGTTGAAACGCCTGAATGAAGCTTCTCTGGATGAGCTGATTCAGCTGAGCGAGTCATGACTCAGTTGAAACAGTCTGAATGAAGCTTCTCTGGATGAGCTGATTCAGCTGAGCGAGTCATGACTCAGTTGAAACAGTCTGAATGAAGCTTCTCTGGATGAGCTGATTCAGCTGAGCGAGTCATGACTCAGTTGAAACAGTCTGAATGAAGCTTCTCTGGATGAGCTGATTCAGCTGAGCGAGTCATGACTCAGTTGAAACGCCTGAATGAAGCTTCTCTGGTTGGTCAGGTGGAGAAACAGCATCTGGAGGAGGAGCTGCAGGAGGTCAGACAGCAGGAGGAGCAGATGTGTGGAGCCAACCGAGTGCTGACCAGACATCTGGAGGACACACAGGTAAGCTGTCTGTCTCACCACCCATCTGTCTGACCTTCTGTCTGTCTGTCTGTCTGTCTCTGTCTGTCTCACCACCCGTCTGTCTGACCTTCTGTCTGTCTGTCTGTCTCTGTCTGTCTCTCTGTCATCTCTCTCTCTGTCTGTCTCACCACCTGTCTGTCTGACCTTCTGTCTGTCTGTCTGTCCATCTCTCGGTCTGTCTGTCTGACTGACTGACTGACTGTCTGTCTCTCTGTCTGTCTGTCACCTCTCTCTCTGTCTGTCTGTCTGGTGTGTGTGTGTGTGTCAGAGTGAGCTGAGCAGGGTGACTCGAGCTCATCGAGAGCTGAAGGAGAGGAGGAGCCAAGAGCAGCTGCAGGAGGAGGTGAGAGGAGACGTTTGTGCGAGCGTGTGAGTGTGTGTGTGTGTGTGTGTGTGTGTGTGTGTGTGTGTAGAGGAGATGCACCACTCCTGGTCTGATGAACGCACTCATTCTCTGTGTGTGTGTGTGTGTGTGTGTGTGTGTGCAGCGCTGTGTGCTGGAGGAGAAACTCTCTCGCTGTGAGTTTGATCTGAATGAAGCGGAGCTGAAAACTCAACAGCTGCAGAAGAGAATTCAAGAGCTGGAGGAGAACCGACACACACATGACGACAGACACCACAAACTCATGGAGGTACACACACACATACACACACACACACACTGCAGCTGACACTTCAAAAGTGCATGTGTTTCCCATGATGCATGTGTGTGTGCAGGTGCGAGTGTGTGAGCTGGAGAGGAGTGTGATGGAGGAGCGCAGCGGTTCAGACTCGCTCATGAAGAGGCTGGAGCGAGGACGAGAGCAGGTCACACACACACACACTCACTCACACAAACAGACACACACACAAAATGAGAGTGTGTGAGTGTGACAGTGTGTGTGTGTGTGTGTAACTAGGTCGTGATGCTGGTCAGTGTGTAATGGACTGTGTGTTTCTGACCCTGTTCTTTAAAGACAAAGAGCCTCTAGTTCTCCAGTGTCTCTGCGCGTCATTAACTGGAGTCAGTCATTTTCATCCCAATCAGACACAGAGAACCACTGACCTGCTCAGAATAACACACACCATCATCATCATCATCATCATCATCATTACACTCCGTGTGTGTGAGACGCAATATAAAGTTGTTTCCTGCACTAAAACGCACAGATCAATGCATTATGTATAGGCCGGGACGGGAGCCACGTCCACTGTGTTTTTTGCTACCTTTTTTCTAACCTAACCCTAACGAGTTGATAACGACCATCCCCGACTCGGCCCGTCCGGTCTCAGGGGCCGAAAAACACCCTTTTGGGGAAAAGCTTCTGGCTGAATGATGTAGTTGTGAATATGAAGGTACTGCAGCAGCAGAAATGGTCATATAATCCTAACATTTTGCAGATTGGGGAAACTAGCAGAACACGATTCTGGGGATTGCTGTCAAATATCAGCCTCAACACACCCCCAAAAGAAGAATAAATGTCTGTCCGTCTGACAAATTGTTTTCATTTTCAAGCATATTATTATACATATCACTGCCTCAAATGTACATGAAAAACATCCCAAGTTTATAAGCTTTGGTTTCTAAGCTTCGACCCTATTGTGTGTGTGTGTGTGTGTGCGTGTGTGTGTGTGTCAGATGGAGCAGCTGAGAGCAGAACTGCTGCAGGAACGAGCTGCTCGACAGGATCTGGAGTGTGACCGAATCCGTCTGGAGCGGCAGGTCAACCATCGTTTACACTCACAGATGAGTGAGGGCTCTCGGCATTAACGTGTTAACGCATGCGATTCATTAAAAAACTGAACGTGCAAAAATAAACAATCCCATTGCATCATAGACATAATTTTCGTCACAAAGTTAGATAATGTAGCTTGTTATAATTAATGATTAATATTTGGATCAGTTAGTACAATTAACTTAATGTAGTAAAATTAATATTGCAATCAATTAACCTGTTTTCCTGTGAACACTCATTGTTAATTGTTTATTAATTCTAAGAAAAGTCCATTTCTTTTTTACTGTACAGTACTCAAAATCTGCATGATTAGGGACTTCAGTATATGAGCATGAAGCATGGACAACTTCAGGTGAACAAGACTAACTCTAACTACTCTAACATACACATACGTTAGACACACACTGAAGCAGAGTACAGAAAAGTAAGAACTTATAGCATTGTTTGAAATACAGAATTGTATGAGTGTGTTTAAGAAGCTGATTGTCCCGTCCTGCAGAATAAGGACCTGCGGAGCCGCGTCTCACAGCTGGAGGGATCTCAGCGCTCCGGGACCGACGCCACCATCTCCAAACTCCAGCTCCAGGTCCACGAGCTGGAGGAGAGGCTGCTGGGAGAGGAAAAGTGAGGACTCATACAACACACAGATCTCACTGAGTGTGCCTGCTGCTGGTCTGATGTGTGTTTCTCTCAGAGAGAACGGAGAACTGCAGCAGCAGAACCGCAGACTGGAGCGACACCTGAAGGAGCTGACCCTACACCTGGAGGAGGAGCGGCTCGAGCTGCAGGACCAGAGAGATCAGGTGACCCCAGAGAGAGATCAGGTGACCCCAGAGATCAGGTGACCCCAGAGAGAGATCAGGTGACCCCAGAGAGAGATCAGGAGACCCCAGAGAGAGATCAGGTGACCCCAGAGAGAGATCAGGAGACCCCAGAGAGAGATCAGGTGACCCCAGAGAGAGATCAGGTGACCCCAGAGATCAGGTGACCCCAGAGAGAGATCAGGAGACCCCAGAGAGAGATCAGGTGACCCCAGAGAGAGATCAGGAGACCCCAGAGAGAGATCAGGTGACCCCAGAGAGAGATCAGGTGACCCCAGAGATCAGGTGACCCCAGAGAGAGATCAGGTGACCCCAGAGAGAGATCAGGTGACCCCAGAGAGAGAGATCAGGAGACCCCAGAGAGAGATCAGGTGACCCCAGAGAGAGATCAGGAGACCCCAGAGAGAGATCAGGTGACCCCAGAGATCAGGTGACCCCAGAGAGAGATCAGGTGACCCCAGAGAGAGATCAGGTGACCCCAGAGAGAGATCAGGAGACCCCAGAGAGAGATCAGGTGACCCCAGAGATCAGGTGACCCCAGAGAGAGATCAGGTGACCCCAGAGAGAGATCAGGTGACCCCAGAGATCAGGTGACCCCAGAGAGAGATCAGGTGACCCCAGAGAGAGATCAGGTGACCCCAGAGATCAGGTGACCCCAGAGAGAGATCAGGTGACCCCAGAGAGAGATCAGGTGACCCCAGAGATCAGGTGACCCCAGAGAGAGATCAGGTGACCCAGAGAGAGATCAGGTGACCCCAGAGATCAGGTGACCCCAGAGAGAGATCAGGTGACCCCAGAGATCAGGTGACCCCAGAGAGAAATCAGGTGACCCCAGAGAGAGATCAGGTGACCCCAGAGATCAGGTGACCCCAGAGAGAGATCAGGTGACGCCAGAGATCAGGTGACCCCAGAGAGAGATCAGGTGACCCCAGAGAGAGATCAGGTGACCCCAGAGAGAGATCAGGTGACCCCAGAGATCAGGTGACCCCAGAGAGAGATCAGGTGACCCCAGAGAGAGATCAGGTGACTCCAAAGATCAGGTGACCCCAGAGATCAGGAGATCCCAGAGATCAGGTGACCCCAGAGAGAGATCAGGTGACTCCAAAGATCAGGTGACCCCAGAGATCAGGAGACACATCTCAGACACGTCACTAACACACACTCACTGCACACACGTGTGTTTACAGCTGGCCCTGCGTCTGAGAACACTGAAGCGTCAGCTGGACGAGGCCGAGGAGGAGATGGAGAGGCTGGAGAACAGCAAGAAGAAGCTGCAGAGAGACCTGGAGGAGCAGCAGGAGCAGAACGAGCAGCTGCACACCGAGCTCTGTGGACTCAGGTGAGTCACACACACACACACACACTCACTCACTCACACACAATGACTGACCTCTGACCTCTGTCTGCAGGCGCAACAACAGACCCACTAAACTACAGATTACAGCTGATGATGAAGATGATGAAGATGAAAATGAGACTGAAGCAACACTAGATGCAAATTAACTGTGTATTAATCATTCACGCGTGTCTCCTGCCACATGTCTACTAAAATCATCGTTTACGCAGGTTAATTCATTAATCACTCACAGTCCTCATCACTCTGTTTGATCAGACGTTACTGAAAGATAAATATGGTGAATATGTTTTAATAAAGCATATTTTGATTGAGGTATCACACTCCCTCTCTCTCCCATCAGACGGTGCTTTACCAAGGCAGGGTCAAGGGTTAGGGTAGGGTCATGGTCAAGGTCAGGGTGAGGGTCATGGTAGGGTCAAGGTCAGGGTGAGGGTCATGGTAGGGTCAAGATCACGGTGAGGGTCATGGTAGGGTCAATGTCAGGGTGAGGGTCATGTTAGGGTCAAGGTCAGGGTAAGGAATAACGTAAAAAGTTTTGGGGTCGGTACGATGTCACATGACCCTTCAGAAATCACTCTAATAATAATCATAAATGTTTTGTGATGCTCATATTAATGTTGAAAACAGTGGTGCTGCTTCAGATGTGTGTGTGGAAACTGATACATTTTGTTCTTCAGGATTCTTTGATGAATGGAAAGTTCAAAAGCACAGCATTTATATGAAATATAATCTTTTGTAACATTATACACGTCTTTACTGTACTTTTGTTTCAGTTTAATGCATCTGTGAATAATAAAAGTATGAAAAAAATGAAGTGATGTTTGCGGTGGATGCGGTGCATGTTTATCTCAGATTGAGCTGCTCTTCTGTAATGAGGGGGATCAATAGATGTGTGTGTGTGTGTGTGTTTGGACCGTCCCATCAGAGGCTTTAATGCAGCGGCGCATCGAGTGTGTTCAGACACACACACACACACGATCATGAAGCATCACTGCGCCATCAAACACAGCGTCTTCAAAGAGTTCCTGGCCGAGTTCCTCGGGACCTTCGTGCTGGTGGTGAGTTTCAGCTCCTTCACTTCAGAACTTTATGAAACAGCGTTACTCCACACCGACTGACAGACTGGTGTAATCCTCTCCTGATGTCTGATTACGTATAGTTGTTGAATGGTTTCCGATGTGTGTGTCAGTTGTTCGGCTGCGGGTCGGTGGCCCAGACGGTGTTGAGCAGAAACACTCTCGGCGAGCCACTGACGGTCCACATCGGCTTCAGCACTGGACTCATGATGGGCGTCTACGTGTCCGGCGGCGTGTCGGGTAAAACACACACACACACACACACACACACAACCTCCCGCCGAACACACACCAGCTTCCACAGGTCAGATAACATCACACACACACAACAACATTATGCTCTTCCTCAGTGCTTCTGTCTTGTTTTCCAGCACAATTATCTAAACGTTCTTAAATCAAGTTACAGACGGCACAATGGCTGACGATATTAAGTCTTGTGTTTGGAAGGCAAATGAAGTGAGTTTGTGTGAAATATCAGCCAATGGAGTCAGAGAAACAGTAATGATGAAGCACTGAGGAAGAGCTGGTGTTTTCAGTGTATGCTGTCATGGACACACACATGCGAGCCGGAATAACACCATCTGATCATTGGATTTCCCAGAACAGATCTATAACGCTCCACATGAGTTGACGGTGGTTTGCTTCTGTTTGTGTCTAGACGAATCTCTGTCAGGTGAGACGACTGTGATGTTTCTCTGTGACTGATGCATTGATTTGATCTGCCAGGCTTGAATGAACGTTCCTCTCGGCTGCTTTTGAGGTCATGCAGCGCCTGGAGCGTCAGGGCGCATTCATTGATCTTACTGTGTGTGTGTGTGTGTGTGTGTGTGTGTGAGTGAGTGTAACAGGAAAATTATGCATTTCGCCTGTTGTTCAGCTGAAGTCAGTGTTGATTCAGTATCTTTGTAAAGATCATCAATTATTAAATGAGTTCAGCTCTCATACAGTCAGATCAATGATATCACTGAATATGAAGTGTCCCCAGCTATCGAAGCCAGAGGCGACAGTGACAGGATGGAGAACCAACCTTGGGAGAAACCGGGCTCAGTCGCTCAGCCCAGACAGCATCATAGTGTCGGCCCAGATCTGGGTCACGTGGAGCACAGCGTCTGGCCCGGATACGGCCTGGGTCCGGCTAACTACAGTAAACCTGGGAATAGGCCTATGTCACCAATAAATTGAAGTACGTCTTTTAGTAGGGATACGGCTCTTCCAGTTAGCTCTTTACAATGGTGGAGTCCGATAGATACCGCTGGACCAAATCTCTCCGCAGCCTGCCTGAAGTCACATGACGATGTGGTTCGGCTGTCGACGTGCTGATGCGGAGCACACCTCTCCTCGGTGATCGCTGATTGCTCTCCTCTCGTGTTCATTTTCTGCACGTGCTCCTCACCAACTTTGTTAATAAAAAACATCATTTTGAGATCGGCCTGTAATTGACTAATTCTGTAGGATGAAGTTGCGTTTTTTTAAACAAGCGGTTTAATCATAGCTTGCTTAAAAGTTTTTGTTACATATCATAGCGACAAAGACAAATTAATGATATTAAGAAGAGGATCTATGACCTCTGGAAGCATCTATTTCAATATCTTAGTCGGTAAAGGGTCTAGTGTGTGTGTGTGTGTGTGTGTGTCTAGCAGATAGACATACACTGTACACATTATGTCTTTATTACCATCTGTGTTATTATGGTGGATGTCAGTATTAAAGGTAAAAAACAGATTTTTATATCAAGCACTGACATACAACACAAATTCAGCAAAGATGGCCGATGGATTTACCCATTTGGTTTTTTGTAAATATGATTAGATTTGTACTGTATTTTTTCAGAATTATACTGTATTTCACAGTGTGAGCTATCATTGTTGTGTCAGGTGGTCACCTCAACCCGGCCGTGTCTCTGGCGATGGTGATCCTGGGGAAGCTGAAGATCTGGAAGTTTCCCATCTACGTGACGGCGCAGATGCTCGGGGCGTTCGTCGGGGCCGCCGCAGTGTTCGGGCTGTATTACGGTGAGTTCCCCGTGTGTTTTGGATCTGATTAATGCGTGTGTGTTTGCGTGTTCAGTTTCTGCTGTTATTTAAGGGGCCACCGGAGGAGATTTGAGATCTGTAATCAGAAAAGACTTGACCCTCCCTTCGCCTGCAATAATGTTTTCTACGACCTTCCATAAGGATTGTGAAAAAAGGCATGAACCGCCCGATCATTTTTATTAATTACTTCTGTACTGGTTTGTGCTTGGCAAAGATGTTCAGATTGTTTTTTTACAACCATAACAAACGACTAAACTCCTGCTTTCTCATCTCGCTCGGGCTGTAACGATAGACCAAACCGACAATTCGGTTCGTATCACGATTTTTGGTTTCATGTTTTCGGTGCTGATGCGGTGGGGCGCGTTCATGTAACATCTAAGGGTGGCGCTGCCATGGGTGGCCTAATTTATTACTGAAAATGACTGAGACTGCCCCTGACTAACTCCCACTAGAGCTTAAGACACTGCCCTAACGTAATGGCTATGTTTATGCAACCGGCCCCAGATGCCTTCATGGAGTTCACCAGCGGGATCCTCTCGGTGACGGGGATCAACGCCACAGGACACATCTTCGCATCATATCCGGGGAGACACCTGACCGTCCTGGGCGGATTCGTGGATCAGGTCAGTCTGAATCAACACATTCAGTGAGTGTTTGACGGCACAGACTGACCGCAGGCCGAGTAAACAAGACCAGACTAAAGCACACCAATCCGGTTTGAACCGGTGACCCGATTCAGATCCTTCTTATTAACGAGTGTTTCGGCTGGCGTGACTGACCTGAGCTCCTTCTGTCAGGTGGTGGGAACGGGAATGCTGGTTCTCTGTATTCTGGCCATCGTGGACGGGAGGAACATCGGCGCCCCTAGAGGCGTGGAGCCGCTGGCCGTGGGCCTGATCCTGCTGGGCATCAGTGTGTCGATGGGCCTGAACTGCGGATACCCCATGAACCCGGCGCGAGACCTCGGCCCGAGACTCTTCACTGCAGCGGCCGGCTGGGGGATGGAGGTGTTCAGGTGCGTCACATACTATCATCTGAGAAATAGTGCAAGAATTAGATGCTTTGTTTCCAGTCAAGACTTAGAGAAACGTGTGCATGGGTTCGGTAATGGCCTCCTAGAAAGACCATCAGACAGTGTCAGCTCATACAGAACCAGAACACATGAACACATCACACCAGTCCTCAGGTCTTTACACTGGCTCCCAGTTACATTTAGGATTGATTTTTACTGGTATACAGCTATTATGCCAGCCGCATCTGGACCAGCTTCTGAGGAGACACACACACACACACACACACACATCCAGACTCAGAGCACTTCTGTTCAGCTGTGTGTGTTCAGCACTGGGCCACTGTTTTTACCGTACTGTATTTTTATTCTAAACTCTTTTAATTATTCTGATTTCTTTTGATTATTTTAATTTCTTCAATGTAAAGCACTTTGAATTACCATTGTGTATGAAATGTGCTATATAAATAAACTTGTCACATGTCGAATAACAGATTCCCTCAGTCCCACCGCTATTGATCAGTTCATTACATAATAACACATGCACTCAACTGCTTTAAATGTGACTGGATGCAGAATCACATTATCTCTCTCACACACACACACACACACTCATTTGTTTGACGATATTAGTAGGTTTATCTCATAGAATCCTATTGACTCTATTATTGAGTCCAACCCTCACAGAAACACTAGGGTTAAATGGAGACATGATCCGGTTTAACTGGTGAGGAGGATACGTCAGATGTAGTTCTGATGGTTGATGAAATGAATGAGTGTACAAATGCTGCAGAATCACACGTGATATACTGTTGTGTGTGTGTGTGTGTGTGTGTGTGTGCAGTACTGCAGATTACTGGTGGTGGATCCCTGTTGCCGGGCCGATGGTGGGCGGGGTCGTCGGCGCTGTGATCTACTTCCTGCTGATCGAGCTTCATCACCCCAAACACACTGACAAACCTCTAGAGGAACCCGAGGAAGAGGAGGATGAGGAGGAGGACGAGGACAGCAGCCTGAAGGACAAATACGAGATGATCAACATGAGCTAGAACACAATAAAGCTGGTCATGTTCACACTGTGTTCGTGAGTAAACAGACGTTCATCCGCCGGTTAGAATGGTTCCACTTCATTTACACTCGTTACTGCTCCAATAATGATCTGGTTTGTACCCAATGATTCATGAAGTGTTTTAACAGCATACAAGCATCACGTCTGTACAGTAAAAACACGTGTGTGTCTCGTTTTCCTGCTCAAACATCTGAACATTCTCACACAAGGACGTTTTCTGGAAGAGCAGCATGACTGGAGATATTAAGTCTTGCTTTCTGAAAGTTTGAGCTTAAAACATGAAGAAATATCTGCCAATGGGGTCAGAGAAATCACCTGGTTTTCCCGTTGAGTTCGGTTTGTTTCTCCATTGGCAGATATTTGTTCTTGTTTTAAGTGCAAACTCATTCAGAAAGCAAGAATTAATATCTTCAGTCATTTTACTTTAGGAACTAAATCTTGATTTGAAAAGATCCTTGAGCTGGAGAACAAGACAGAAACACTGAGGTCATTTTGTCTTTTGCGGTGTAACGTTGCCCATAATCCTCCACTGTACAGAATGTGTGATTTTATGTGGCTGTTGATGATAATATTGTCCTGAATCCACAATGAAGCAGATCAGCAACACAAGCATCAGATGTCCTGACGAACACGTGTGTAAAAGCTTTCCTGGAGTTTTCATGCTGAAGTTATTCCACCGTATTGTCATTCATATTATTTATGTCTATGATTATTGTTCATGTGTTTGTAGATCAGGCTTCTTGTTTTGAAAGTCTTGGTATAAAGTAGATCTTTTGTAATGAAATCCTACGACATGGACTGTATATTTGTGTTTTGCTGAATAAAGAAGGTGGTGTACGGCACACGGGTCTGCGTTTGTGTTTCTGCTGAACGACAGAGGAAGACCTCCGCTCATTCTTCATCACTTCCGTTCCTTATCTAGGCTATCGATATATTTTACTTGCAAGTTTCTTGACAATTCTGTATAATGTTCTTTAAATTGAACATACCTATCCCTGTTGATGTATCTCACAGAAGGCCCCGCCTCCGCCTGCAGCCGTGGCCAATCACAGCGCCCCATCGCCAGTCGATCGCCAGCTCTAGAACGAAGTGTTAAAAACCAAGTCTGATTTTAGTTCATTGTGAAGCAATGAAGGATAGTTGCAGTTTTAGTTCTCTTTCATTTTTCATTTCATTTCATTTTCATCTTTTCTTGAGTTGATGGTTTCAGTTTTGGTTGAGGTTCGAGTTAACTTTAATAACCTCGACGATACAGATGAACTGAAACCAGTTACAACAGAGATCAATGTCCAAATAACATGGCGCTTGATTTATTCCTTATTTTCCCATTCACATCATTTAGTATTTATCATTAAACACTCAAAATTCATCCTGTGAAAACTTTAAAAAAGTCTCAAATTATGATATCAACTTCAGATTTGGAACACATACGGTTAAACATACGACTTTGATTTCATTTTTTTCATTCAGTACATTTGCTTTACAGTAAACTTCTCAAACCTTTCAACATGTTGATGTTTTTAAGCCGCTTCCACTTCTGCTGTCTTCTCTAAAGAGAGGTGTGTATACTACAGCATTCAGGAACCACAACCATGAACCATTAACCCCGTCCTCCCCTTCCTCCAACAGAGGCAGAACTGCAGCCAATCAGAGCAGAGAAGGGTTCCCCATGAGTCACTCAGGCCCCGCCCACCATCTCCCACACACACACTCTCCCTAACCGTCTCTCACTCTCTCACACACACACTCTCTCTCTCTAACCGTCTCTCACTCTCATACACACTCTCTCTCTATCCGTCTCTCACTCTCACACTCTCTCTCTATCCGTCTCTCTCACACACTCTCTCTCTCTCTCTATCTGTCTCTCACACACACACTCTCTCGCTCTTACACACACTCTCTACCTTGAGCACTTCTCCAGACTCCCGCAGAAGCTGCTGATCATGCGAGTGCTGAGCGCTCTGCTCGCCGTGTGTGTTTTGGCCGGGTGTGTGAGAGGAGACTCCAACATCACAGGTAAGGAGATCTGGAGTCCTGAGCCACAGACTGGCACACGCGGCTCTTATTTTAGTCTGACACACTGAACTTCAGGCTGTAATTGCATGTTCTCAGAGAGGCTGTTTGAAGGCTTGCCATGGAAGAGTTTCCACATCTGGCTCTATTTCCAGAGTCTCCAGGACAGACTCCAGGACTGACTCCAGGACAGACGCGGCTGAAGTCCAGCTTCCATCTGTATGCCGAGGGCTCGGTGTTCGAGGAGACCTGCGCCCTGGTCCCGTTCCGTCCCAAAAGCCTCCAGAGGTGCGGATACAACGCAAGCCTTCCACTGGTGCTGATCATCCACGGCTGGACGGTACGCCTCAACACACACACACACACACACACATCATCGGACAGGTCGACGCTTCGCACACAGAACAATCCAGTCCCAGCGACCCTCGCACGGCTTACAGTTACATTCATACAATGTTCATTCACAGTTAGAGACCCGAGACAGTTCGGCTATATGAGTAACACACTTCAGTTCAGGCAATCCTTGAGTTTAGTTATGCCTTAACTTTAGTTGAGTTTAGTTATGGCGTAACTTTAGTTGAGTTTAGTTATGTCGTAACTTTAGTTGAGTTTAGTTATGCCGTAACTTTAGTTGAGTTTAGTTATGGCGTAACTTTAGTTGAGTTTAGTTATGTCGTAACTTTAGTTGAGTTTAGTTATGCCTTAACTTTAGTTGAGTTTAGTTATGGCGTAACTTTAGTTGAGTTTAGTTATGTCGTAACTTTAGTTGAGTTTAGTTATGCCTTAACTTTAGTTGAGTTTAGTTATGTCGTAACTTTAGTTGAGTTTAGTTATGGCGTAACTTTAGTTGAGTTTAGTTATGGCGTAACTTTAGTTGAGTTTAGTTATGTCGTAACTTTAGTTGAGTTTAGTTATGCCTTAACTTTAGTTGAGTTTAGTTATGGCGTAACTTTAGTTGAGTTTAGTTATGGCGTAACTTTAGTTGAGTTTAGTTATGCCGTAACTTTAGTTGAGTTTAGTTATGCCGTAACTTTAGTTGAGTTTAGTTATGTCGTAACTTTAGTTGAGTTTAGTTATGCCTTAACTTTAGTTGAGTTTAGTTATGGCGTAACTTTAGTTGAGTTTAGTTGTCGTAACTTTAGTTGAGTTTAGTTATGCCTTAACTTTAGTTGAGTTTAGTTATGGCGTAACTTTAGTTGAGTTTAGTTATGGCGTAACTTTAGTTGATTTTAGTTATGCCTTAACTTTAGTTGAGCTTAGTTATGCCGTAACTTTAGTTGAGTTTAGTTATGGCGTAACTTTAGTTGAGTTTAGTTATGCCGTAACTTTAGTTGAGTTTAGTTATGGCGTAACTTTAGTTGAGTTTAGTTATGTCGTAACTTTAGTTGAGTTTAGTTATGCCTTAACTTTAGTTGAGTTTAGTTATGCCGTAACTTTAGTTGAGTTTAGTTATGGCGTAACTTTAGTTGAGTTTAGTTATGTCGTAACTTTAGTTGAGTTTAGTTATGCCTTAACTTTAGTTGAGTTTAGTTATGGCGTAACTTTAGTTGAGTTTAGTTATGTCGTAACTTTAGTTGAGTTTAGTTATGCCTTAACTTTAGTTGAGTTTAGTTATGGCGTAACTTTAGTTGAGTTTAGTTATGTCGTAACTTTAGTTGAGTTTAGTTATGCCTTAACTTTTGTTGAGTTTAGTTATGCCGTAACTTTAGTTGAGTTTAGTTATGGCGTAACTTTAGTTGAGTTTAGTTATGCCGTAACTTTAGTTGAGTTTAGTTATGGCGTAACTTTAGTTGAGTTTAGTTATGTCGTTACTTTAGTTGAGTTTAGTTATGCCTTAACTTTAGTTGAGTTTAGTTATGCCGTAACTTTAGTTGAGTTTAGTTATGGCGTAACTTTAGTTGAGTTTAGTTATGTCGTAACTTTAGTTGAGTTTAGTTATGCCTTAACTTTAGTTGAGTTTAGTTATGCCGTAACTTTAGTTGAGTTTAGTTATGGCGTAACTTTAGTTGAGTTTAGTTATGTCGTAACTTTAGTTGAGTTTAGTTATGCCTTAACTTTAGTTGAGTTTAGTTATGCCGTAACTTTAGTTGAGTTTAGTTATGCCGTAACTTTAGTTGAGTTTAGTTATGGCGTAACTTTAGTTGAGTTTAGTTATGTCGTAACTTTAGTTGAGTTTAGTTATGCCTTAACTTTAGTTGAGTTTAGTTATGTCGTAACTTTAGTTGAGTTTAGTTATGTCGTAACTTTAGTTGAGTTTAGTTATGGCGTAACTTTAGTTGAGTTTAGTTATGCCGTAACTTTAGTTGAGTTTAGTTATGCCGTAACTTTAGTTGAGTTTAGTTATGTCGTAACTTTAGTTGAGTTTAGTTATGTCGTAACTTTAGTTGAGTTTAGTTATGTCGTAACTTTAGTTGAGTTTAGTTATGTCGTAACTTTAGTTGAGTTTAGTTATGCCTTAACTTTAGTTGAGTTTAGTTATGCCTTAACTTTAGTTGAGTTTAGTTATGGCTTAACTTTAGTTGAGTTTAGTTATGTCGTAACTTTAGTTGAGTTTAGTTATGGCGTAACTTTAGTTGAGTTTAGTTATGGCGTAACTTTAGTTGAGTTTAGTTATGTCGTAACTTTAGTTGAGTTTAGTTATGCCTTAACTTAAGTTGAGTTTAGTTATGTCGTAACTTTAGTTGAGTTTAGTTATGTCGTAACTTTAGTTGAGTTTAGTTATGTCGTAACTTTAGTTGAGTTTAGTTATGTCGTAACTTTAGTTGAGTTTAGTTAAGTCGTAACTTTAGTTGAGTATAGTTAAGTCGTAACTTTAGTTGAGTTTAGTTATGTCGTAACTTTAGTTGAGTTTAGTTATGTCGTAACTTTAGTTGAGTTTAGTTAAGTCGTAACTTTAGTTGAGTATAGTTAAGTCGTAACTTTAGTTGAGTTTAGTTATGTCGTAACTTTAGTTGAGTTTAGTTATGTCGTAACTTTAGTTGAGTTTAGTTATGTCGTAACTTTAGTTGAGTTTAGTTATGTCGTAACTTTAGGTGAGTTTAGTTATGTCGTAACTTTAGTTGAGTTTAGTTATGTCGTAACTTTAGTTGAGTTTAGTTATGGCGTAACTTTAGTTGAGTTTAGATATGTCGTAACTTTAGATGAGTTTAGTTATGTCGTAACTTTAGTTGAGTTTAGTTATGTCGTAACTTTAGTTGAGTTTAGATATGTCGTACCTTTAGTTGAGTTTAGTTATGTCGTAACTTTAGTTGAGTTTAGTTATTGCATCATGGCTCATTTATCCACACTGTTGGTCTCTGTCAGCCCAAACACAGTCTGTCAGCTCTCCTCGTCTATCTTGCTGAGTTCTGCTCCACTCACCGCTTTGGATCTGTGGTTTTTCCTACTCTTGGAAACTCTCGTTGTCTTGAATTTGGAGAAGCTCAGGCAGTTTTAAAGCTCAACTCAAGACATTTTTAAACTAGCATTTGCTTGTTGATGTTTACATGGTTTTCCTGGTTCTATGTACTGCTTGTTTTGTAGTTTTAAAGGCGCTCTATAAGATAAGGTCGGTGAGGATTACTGATGTGCTCTTCTGCTCAGATGAACGGACTCATGGAGCAGTGGATCTTCAATCTGGCGTCTGCACTGAAGGTCCGCCTCCAGCAGGTCAACGTGCTCATCAGCGATTGGAGGATTCTGGCCCTTCAGCCGTACCCAATCGCAGCCAAGAACAGCAGACAGGTGGGCCGGGACGTGGCCACGCTGCTCCAATGGCTGGAGGTAATGACCATCTTTAATGGAAACATTCTGGGAATGAAACCGCATTTAAAATATATAGAAACCTGAACATGCTGGTGGTTCAGTAGTTTCGCCACAGTTAGATAGCGGTGAACGGAAACTATAACAAATGTCAGCTCATGTGAGTGACAGGTTATAGCCCCGCCCACATCATCAGAGAAGAGATGCGGCACGAGGAACTGATTCTGATTCAACATTATTAACACATTCATAGATATTCCTAGCCTGGATGCCAGCCGAACCCCACACACAACACTGTTTGGTCGGCAAGTTCGGTCTGGACTCGATCCATTGAGGAGTAATTATGATCGCTTCAGAAATGGTCAGGCCAATCAAATGGCCAGGGCGGGCTTTATAAGATGATGGACAGATGGACAGTTACGCAATCGAAGAGCGCTTGGGTCGGACTGGTTTCCCTCAGAGATGGCCGCCGCTGGAGAACTGAGATGTAGAGACTCCGTCTGTGTAGAAGAAATCAGAGAAACAGAAACAGAGAACTGATTTTTGTATGAAATTATAAAAAGCTTTGTGTGTTTGAGGTTCCATACTGTTTGTGCATCAGTAAGTGTTTGAGTCCTGACGCCACTTCCTCTCTGGACAGGAAGCTGGTAATCTCTCTCTGGATCGAGTCCATCTGATTGGCTACAGCCTGGGAGCGCATGTGGCTGGGTTTGCGGGAAGCCATTTCAGAGGACGCAGGAAAGTGGGACGCATTACTGGTATGAAGAAGGCAAACACACACATCAGACAGACTGATTATCAGAGTCAGTGGAGTGTAGGACCATCGGTCATGTTAACAGGACGATCTACTAGCGTGATCAGTAGAATGAACAAGAGAAGTTCTCAACGTCACCCAGTCTGAATATGCTCTATATTTACTAACTTAGTTAACTTACCCGGTTTCCTAAAAATGACGGTTCTTAACCCAGATAGCACTAGGCTGTTTGATCTCCTATTTACATCTGGAAGACGTATTTTAAAGAGTGTTTGCTCATCTGCAAGACGTCTATAGGACGTTTCCTGCAGATGTCAAATAGACGTTTAGAAGATGTCTCAAAGATGTAATGATTTAGAATGCATGTTAAACTGACATCTTATAAACGTCTATTTGACATCTGACAGGAAACGTCCTATAGACGTCTTGCAGATGAGCAAACACTCCGTCTTTAAAATACGTCTTCCAGATTTAAATAGGACATCAAATACCCTTGTGCTATCTGGGAAAACTGCTAAATTATGCTAGCAACATGCTAAAGTATACATGGATTTCTCAGCAACATCATCACTGCTTGCGCACGCAACCAGGAGGCAGAAAAAATATGTGTTTCGTTGTTTCGTGTAGAGGCTAGTTGCATAGTGGTGCTGTCTGTAACGTAAATCAGCGTGACGTAACTTATATACGAGCAAATTCGGGCTCTCCAGTAGATGTTGCACTGCTAACATTGGATATTACATTACTAGCCTAACATCTGTATTGCAAAAAGCACTATATAAATAAAGGTGACGTGATCATTCATACATATATCACAGTAACTAAAATCACGTTTTATTGAGTCAGCAGTTATATACTAACATTACAATCAATACGGAAAGCTTCGATACTTCGGGGATGCGCACACACCCTATTATGCTAGTAACATGTTAGCGGTGTGCTAATTCATGGTAGAAACTAGTTAGCAACGTGTTCAATCATGTTAAGACATACTAGCAATGTTAAATCATGCTAGAAACATGCTAATAATGATGTTTAATTATGCTAGCAACATGTTAAAACATGCTAACAATTCATGTTAACCCTAAAAGGGTTTTATATCCTGCCGTATACAGACATGCACGGTTTGAGGAGAGGCAGGGAAAGTGTGGGTCTACGTTATATTCTCTGTTGTGAATATTTACATCTGGTGATTTTGACTTTGTTGTTTAACGGGCAGCATTTACAACACGACCCCCTGTTGTGGGAAATCTACTCAGATTCAAATATATTTCACATTTTGACAATATTTGGAGGGAACTTACATGTCTAAAAAGTAGTTGTTAAGCATTAACTTATTACGCTAACATTGATATTTTATTCAATTTAATTTTTACATTTTTTATAATATGTTTGTAGGCCTATCTCAGGGGATACGTCACTCTTTCAGGGGTATAAATAAGACTCTCTGGTCTCTAGACTTTCAAACTTTATATTTAATCATTTAGTCATTTAATCAGTTAGCTACATATAAGTCAGTTTTAGGTCAAAAATACATTTTTTAGACAATTTCTGTCAGCACTATCTATGGCAGAAGGAAGAAACGGTGTCGGGTGTTTCTCCACCTGGGTTTCGTGTCTCCTTCCTGAGGCCGCCCACACACAGTCAAACTATGATACTGTAGGTGTATATATGTACAGCAGACAGAAGGATTGAAGACGATTGTGTACAACAGGTTTTGTTCCTGTTGATCATTTATAGGCCCTAGAAATTTCTGAGAAGTTTAAGTTATGAGAGAATGGCTAACATGTTGTAACAAGCATTGCCAAACAAGCATTCCGTTTCCCCTGAATCTATACCCCCGTAGGAGTGACGTATCCTGGGCATACAAGCTTTAAAATAAAATAAGGGTTTTTTTGTCCTTATAAGTGGGAATTTACTACGAAGTACCAATAAATTAATTTTGTAATACTCTTTACAGTCTTGCCCTTCTAGGGTTAAAACATGCTAGCAATGTGTTAAATCATGCTAACAACACGTTAGCAAGCAATGTGCTAAATCATGCCAGAAACTGTTTAGCAATGTTCTAAACCATGTTAGTAACATGCTTAATCATGTTAGCAATGTACTTATTCATGCTAGAAACATGCTAGCAACGATCTGTATTCCGTCAAAACGTTCAAACTTCAAGCTTTTAAAACTTCTTCAAACGTTCCAGTCAGGCTTTCTCCAACCAACATCACAGCTGGTCTAAGACGACTGATGTGTGTTGTGTGACGCAGGTCTGGATCCGGCCGGGCCGCACTTCGAAGGTTTGCCGGCGTTCGATAGACTGTCTCCGGACGACGCTCAGTTTGTGGACGCCATCCACACCTTCACCACATCCAGCATCATGCCGGGAGTGGGAATCAAGCAGAGCGTCGCGCACGTGGACTTCTATCCCAACGGAGGATCCTCTCAGCCCGGATGCAAGATGCTCGACATCTACAGTAACGTCTTCCAGTACGGCCTGCAAGGTATACAGTATATGTATATATATCGCTGAACGGACTAGAATAGGTGATGAATCGAACATACAACATAAGGGGCCGTTCGAACTGGACGTGTTCTTGTCCACAGGGGCTTCGGGATATTGCCAATTGGAAGTACACAAGGAATTTGTCTTTGTGACAAAAAATCTAAATTACAATTAATAATTAAAATGAAGTCAAGTGAAGTCATCTTCATTTATATAGAGCTTTTAACATCACAGATGTTCCACAGCAGCTTTACAGAGATGACAGGAGAGTTGAGGCTTTACAGCAGATCTAGAATAACGTTACTGTCCGGATAAAGTTAGTTTTGATTGGTTCACTTCCTAATATATATGAAAATATATACACCCAAACTCAAACACTTCAATGGCCAAATTCATCCATCAAATTCATCTCCATCATGGGACAGACTCATTCTGTGTGAGCAATCCCAATCGGCATCATGTAGCATACTGAATAAGGCAGTGTTTCACACACTATTTTAAAAGAGCATATTGTACCCTAGACTAGACTGTTATGACAATGACTCATGATGTTTTTGTAGGTGTTCCCAAGACCATTAAATGTGCCCACGAGCGCGCAGTAAAACTCTTCACCGACTCCTTGATCAACGCCAGCCAGCCCATAATAGGCTACCGTTGCCGTGACTACAGCACCTTCAACAAAGGCCTGTGTCTGGACTGCAAACAGATGCGCTGCAACACGCTAGGCTACGATGTGAGGCACGAGCGCGCGGGGAGGAACGCTAAAGGGCTGTACCTGAAAACCGGCCCTGAAGCTCCATATAAAGGTCAGTTAATGAGGCCCAGGTTTGAGTCTAGACGAGCGTCTGGAGGAGACGGTGTTTATATAGAGCCAACACACACTCTCTTCACTCTCCCTCAGTGTTTCACTACCAGATCCGAGTCCAGCTGACGAACCTGATGGAGCCGGTCGAGACCTCGCTGTTGGTGTCGCTCAACGGGACCCGGGGCCTGGCCCGAGACCTTCCCCTCAGCCTGTGAGTTCACAACACTACTGGAGAACCTACATCAGGCTTTTTTAGGAGGAAAAAATCTGTTAAATTTTATTCAGAGACTTAAAATGAGCAAAAATATTATAATAATATTCATTAATATTCAATGTTGTGTGTGTGTGTCTGAGATCATGAACTCTGGTGTGTTGCAGCTATCAGGAGCGCAACCGTCCAAAGGCCTTCACTTCATTGGCTGCGGTGGCCGCTGATCTGGGTCACCTGACGTCCATCAGACTGGTCTGGAAGGGAGAGCTGGTCTGGTCAAACTGGCTGAGGCGCGTCAGGAACATCATGAGCTGGAACGGACCCGATCAGGACCTGGAACTCAGTGTATGGAGGATCCGGATTAAATCTGGAGAGAGTCAGGAAAAGTGAGTTTCATTGAATTTCAATGTCAATGTCAATGTCAATGTCATGTTTATTTGTATAGCACATTTCCAAGGCCTAGGCCTTCCAAAGTACTTCACAGTTTCAGAGCAGAATGAGTCCTTATTTTAAAGTGTAACCAAAATATAAATATCTTTTCAATTTGATAAATGTTTTATGTCATTTTGCTTCTCCAGTAAATTTATCTTCGTTTAGGACTGTTTCCCTGTCGGAAATTCTGAGTTGGAAATTCCAATTCCAATTCCTGACTAGGAATTTCCAACTAGAAATTTTCAACTGAATTTCTTACCAAGAGACTCCAACTAGGACATTTCTGGCTTAAATTTTCCAACTCAGAATTTCTGACTCTTTCTTGCTATATATGTCAGAGGTCGCACGCCTCTGGAGAACTAGGGGTTAAGTGTCTTGCTCAGGGACACATCGGTGTCTCACAGTGGACTCGAACCCGGGTCTCTCACACCAAAGGCATGTGTCTGATCCACTGCGCCATCACCACCCCCTATTCAGTGAAAGGACCGAGTGGAGTGTGTGGTGTCTGATCTCTCAGTGTCTGATCTCTGTGCAGGATGTGGTTCTGTGGTGTTTCCGCTAAGGTCACGCTTCTGAAGGCCTCAGAGGAGCAGGAGTTCAGACGCTGCAGATCCTCGTCGAGGACGAAGACACAGACATGAAGACTCACAGCCATTCAACCCAGTCTTTTTATTAATGCATTTCAAGTACTCCAAAAAAATTACATCTCTTTGCACAATACGTTTTGAAATGTTACGTAAAAATGTTCAAAGTGAACAAAAATTTAGGTACTGTATAAAACACAGTGAACATTAACAGACAGCAGTATTAATCTTTTTTGTTCCTTCGTTTCTCAGTTTTAGTGTTCGGCCTATTTTCACCTACAACATTTGGACTCGATTAAGACTTCTTTTTTTTTCAGTGCACTTTTCCTCTATGAAATTTCACCAAGACTACGTAAAAATTAAAAGTCAAATACAGGCAAATATTTAGATGTCCTCCAGTCCAGGCCGCCGCAAAACCACAGAAGCGCCGCTCTGTTTCTTCATGGCAGATGGCAGTATGGAAAAGAAGAACCGGATGTGGCTCGGCGGCCGGCCTGGACTCGACAAACTCTTGTCTGGAGGTGAACAAAAGAGAAAAGTATCAAAATGTACCTTCGAATATTAACAGAAATTATTCTCCAGTTACTGTACATAGTTTACACCTGCTGAGATGAGCGTGACGTAATCAAAGTCCTGCGTTCTGTCAGAGAGGATGAAGGGAAGCGTCCTCAAACGCACGCATGACGTTCCCTCGGCGAGCGGCCCTTCACACGCCTGAGACTGGATGAGGATGAGTCTCAGCGGACGCCACTGAAGGACTGTAAACTAAACCTTGTGTTAATAGTACTGTGAGTATCCTCTACAGGGAAACTGCAGCTAAATCCTTAAAACACATTTGCAGGGAATAATCGTGACCGCGGTTCAAATCAACATTTCGTACAATTGCACGTCTGCAGATCTTCTGGATTTGAACATCCCAAAAACACTTTCAGTTCCTTCAGTCATCTGGAATGAGTGGAAGCTTGTTTCTGCCACCGAATAAAATAATAAAAAGTCCGAATTGCGAGAAATGCATGCATTGTGAGAAAAAAAATTTTCAGAATCGCAATTGCAGGAAAAAGGTCATAATTGCAATACAAATGTATGATTTCGAGAAGAAAAGTCAGAGTTCGGGAAAAAAAAAAATTATTGTGAGATAAAAGTCATCGTTGTGAGAAGAAAATTCAGAACTGAAAGAAAAATTCAGAATCGCAATTGCAGGAAAAAGATCATAATTGCAAAACTTTATCTCGGAATTGCGAGAAATTTGCAATTGCTTTTTTAATCTTTTATTCCGTGGCGGAAAAAGGCTTCCATTGAAACGATCATGATCGTAGATCTTCATAGCATATCTTCATGGTTGCACCGCTAACGCACACACACACAAACACAAACACACACATTAAAATCAAGTTCTTCATGCACATTCCTTGTTGGGGTGTGTACCGGAAGTGCAGTGGACGTGAGGACGTGATTCTACATGAGCTATATACAAACACACGCGCGCACACACAGAATGAAGAACGTAAACGGTGGGATGACGTCGAGCGGCTACGCGTGATCCGTCGCGCTGAACCACCGCCTTCGTTTGAGCGTTTTTGAGTCCTGAGTGTTGTCAACAAAACTGCAACTGTAAATCTCTTATCGACAATAGAAGAAATAATCTTCGTATAATACAGCTAATATCGTTTCTCTATACAGCCGTGAGTCTGGAAAAGGGAAGGCGTAATATTTCGGGTCTTACAAAATAAAAGTCCTTTTCCGAGCAGGTGGCGAGGGTTCGGGCCGAAGCTCCACACACTTCCTTAAAAAGATGTTTTTCATATCAAACCACTTTGAGTCTTAAATGTTTTCAAAGCAAAGAAGTGACTACAGGAGACGCTCTATCTACAAATACCCCGGTAAACCTTGGCACGCGAGGGTGAACACAAACAAACAAAAAGGAAAATTACAAAAGAAACTCAGGAGTGAAGCTTCTCCGTGAGGGAATGAAGGACTGAGTTGTGGTTGGTTTTTACTCCAAAGAGAAACTCCAGTCTGCGGAAGCATTACGGGCACCGGACATGTTCCAGTCAAGCATTCCAGTTTAGTGCGTGAACCCGGATGAAGCCTGGCGGTACTGTGATGATGAGGAGCGGCGGCCCGGTGTGGTTCTTTGGAGTAAAGCCTCTCAGCGCCTCATCTGGCCCATCTGGTAGTTCTCGCGGGGCTGCCGGTGGTGGCGCTGGGGCTGAGGCTGGCGCTGGGCTGGACGGGCGGCCTGCCGCTGGTTCTGGTGCCCGTGAGCGTGCTGGTTCTGGTGCTGGTTCTGGTTCAGGTGCTGATGATGCTGCTGCTGCTGCTGCTGGGCCGCCTGTTGAGCTCGTCGTCTCTTCAGCGTTCCTTCACCACACACACACACACACACGGATGTTACAGCTCACGACACAGAGAGAGAAATATTCCACAGCAACTGAACACACACATCAGGAGCACGACTGTTGACCACTTCCTTATTAACAGAAACTCTCATGAGATTCATAGCTCTGATTGGGATTATAATAATAACAATCATTAATCACATTATATGCCAATAAACATTAAAATATTATTATTATTATTATTATTATTATGGTAACACTTTGCAATTAGGTTTCATAGGTTAACATTAGTTGAACTAAGATTAATAAATGCTGTAAAGTATTGTTCAATCTCAACATTTATTTACATATTATTAGGAGAAAAAGTATCTGTTGATATTTAATGCTCTGTGAGCTAACATGAACATTTTTATTAACAAAAATTAAGGTTAATAAATGCTGTAAAAATAGTTTGTTCATATATTTAATAATGTGAAGATATGATACCTTACTGTAAAGTGTTGCCTTTATTTTTGCTGTCATTATACTATTATATAATTAAGGCATAAATACTTATCTATAATAAATAATAATTAATCAACTAAAATACTGCAAAGATGCAAATGTGAAAATGCGCCGGTTGGTTCCCAAATCTACATTAAACTCACGGCACATGCAGAGATCGTTCCTTAAAGGAGAACTCCGGCGCTAACCCTAACCTCCGCTCTAATAACACACTGGCACGACCGTTCTCTCAGATCTGTTTTCATGATAATCGAATGTAAAGAGTTTTATCTCTAAAAACTGTTTAGCGTATAATGCTAGTAATGGGGGCATTTAATAAGAAAATAGCCCCACACTAACACAGTAACATAATGAGGGTCCATACATGCAAACCGAAGCATTGAGAACGGCGTTCGTGGTTCGACTTGTCGTGTCTGTTTTCCAAAGATGGCTCCTGCTGTGTATAAATGAAGTGCACTGTCTTTATAAAGTATCTTCTTATCAAACGGTCTGTACACTTACAGAGTTCTCAATGCTTCGTTTTGAATGTTTTCTAACAGCTGACTGAGGAATATTTCGAGTTATTGCAACCGATCACGGTCCCACGCCTGAGCTCCTGAGAGCGACCCGACAGGTCCGGACCGACACACCTGTGGCCGTGGAAGACAGTGGATCACCTGAATGATTTGGAGCGGTGTCCCAATACTTGGCAATATAATGTATGTGCGTATGGAGACGTGATAGTGTGTGTGTGTGTGTGTGTGTGTGTGTGTGTGTGGCCATGCGCTGAGAGCCGTCACCTGGCAGGGGTTTGGGCGGGGGCAGTTTGGGGTTGCTGCTGGGAGTGTGAACACTGCAGATCTTGATGAATCCTGCCATCAGCATAATCAGAGCGATTCCCATCAGTAACACCGCCCACCAGTGAGCCTGCGCACAAAACACACTCGTCAACACACACACCTGCCACTATCCACTCTGCGATGTTCTCGTCCAGCTCGGGGTTGAAGATGACACACACACACACACACACAGAAGGACAGAAACACTTGCCACTATCCACTCTGCGATGTTCTCGTACAGCTCGGGGTTGAAGATGGCCTTCTTCAGGCGGGCCAGGGGACCGTCGGCGTCCACCAGACGGCACTTCATGAACACGTCACAGTAACCCTTGAAGTCGTTGCAGGGCGAGCCGGCCTGAAGGGTCGTGACCTTCTTATTAAAGAAGCGTGCGAGCCGCTCGGAGCCGGTGCTGCTGCAGGTGCTGGGGTTCACTGTCACACACACACACACACACACACACACACACACACAGGTCAGTCCTGATCAGGCTGCTGGTCTCATGTAATGTATCTCACGTGGATATTAAACAGAACTGCTGTTCTTGATATTTTAGTTTTTTGGTTACACATTATTTGAAATGCCCTTGTTGTACAAATAAAGCGGTGCTTTTATTTATGGTTTGGTTTCGAGTTATTTGATTGTAGTTATGTATATATTATATAAGATGATGTCAAATGTGTAACAAGGACGTCACATTACTGTTTGTTAAAAACACCACATGACATTAAAACATGAAATAACCAAGAAGATAATATAAATGGACTTTTAAAATGACTAAACATCAATTTTGATTGAAAAGAAACTGAATGTTCAATTTCGGTTTGTATTTCATTTGACAGAATATTTGCTGACTAAACCAGTAAATGTCTGTTATGAACAGGGGAATAACAACATCTTTAGATTAGCATGATAATTAAGGCCATTTACGATGGGATTCTGATTGGTCAATTGTAGATATTTTTATACTATCTCGTTTCATACGAACACAACTGGCGCCATCTTTGGGTTTAATTTAATAATTGCATTATAAAGGCAGTTTATATTCTCTCATGTCTAAATTATTCAGACTTTTCTGCTTTCCTAACTTATTTAAATAACTAGAGTGTCCTGCACTCACTAGTAAAAAAAAGAAAAATTGTCTGAATAATTTTTGGGTTGACTGTATGCGTGCTGAAAACAAAAATGAATTTGGTTAACACTAGGGATGGGTATCGTTAAGGTTTTATCGGTATTACTACTCTTACCGATACCGCTTATCGATCCGGTACTTTAACGGTATTCTTATCGGTTCTTTTTGGTGTTTTTTTTTTTTTTTTTTTTTTTTTTTAAGAATTAAGAACATAATTAAACTCTATATTTTGAAATGTAAAATAGAAAAAGCAAAACGAAGAAAAATATATTTTTGTTATGCAGCAATGTGCAGGCTTTTTTGTTTTATATAAAAAAAGGACACATAAGAAAAAAAACAAGTACAAACACAAGAATAAAATCAATCAAAGATACAAATTATATACAAAAGTGCTTTCATTTCAGCAAGGTGTACTAACATATCTTTTCAGGTAATTGTTTCTGTCTGAAAAGAAACCTAATTTAGTAATCAAATATAAAATAACACTAGTTTATCATAGATAGATTAATGCTTATTTAATCTAAAGTTACTTATTCAAAAGCTGCGAGTGATTTTCTCTGCCTTTTGTTGTTTGATTTGCATTAATGGCTGAATCGTCAGCAGGTTTAGGCTATTAGACTGCTGCCCCTTTAAGACCGCGAGCAAATCTAATCGGTAACCGGTTACTGAAGCACCATCAATTTCTCCCTATTATTTACGTCCATTTAAGACATAATTGTGTTTAAGTGAATAAACTGTGTTTAAGCGAATCTCAGAGCTGGTCATTTTGATATTTGTATGTATATTTGATAGTTAAGGAGGACACACGAAGCCCAAAGTATAGTTTTCTTGTCTCGTTGCAGTCCGTTTCGGAGCGCGCACCGCCTTGTGAACAGGCTCTTGCGCAGGTTTTGTGTTTTTAATAGCCATTTTTTGATCTTGCAACAGTAGAAGACAGCATTTTGCAACAATCGCCGATCGTGCTGACGGTACGTTTGGGTTTTAGGAAGAGCTGACAGCGCTCCGCAGTGCTGTGAAGTAAAGGAAGTTAAGCTGGACAGATCATGCGTCTTGTTTTTTTAACGGTTTTATCTCAAATATCTTCTTTTTATAATCTTTGGAAGCCGAAATACAAAATATATTAGATATAATAATCCCACATCTAAAGTGTAACCACGTTGAATGTTTAGTTCTGTCCTCATTGTCACTCATTAAACAGGGCTGTCGTGTTGCGCGTGCTGTGGCTTTGCGTGAGAGATCGCTCTCTCTCTCTCTTCTCTCTCTCTCTCTGCTAAACTGCTAATTTCAAATTTGCATCACAGACAAAAGGTTTAATTAAAATATAGTTTATATATAGAAAAGGCTGGCGATATAAACATGTTAAAGATAACGTCTTTATAGGAATGATAAATAATTTCTCCAGTACCGACAGCAGAACCGATAACGTCCGAGCTTATCGATACAGCGGTCTTTCAAAATTCAGCACCGGGGCCCGTTTAATACCGGGTTTCGGTACCCATCCCTAGTTAACACACACATATATATGCTGTAGTGTGTAACACTGACTTTTCTCCATGCAGCAAACGTGGCAGAGCTCGGTCTCGTCGGTGCCGTCCACGCTAGCACAGGTGCACACCTCCAGACCGTACTTCTCACAGATGGAGCCCGAGCAGCCCTACACACACACAGAGAGAGAGAGAGAGAGAGAGAGAGAGAGAGAGAGAGGCTCAGACGTGCATGCGTGTGTGTGTGTGTGAGTGTGAGTGTGTGTGTGTGTGCGCCTCACTCACCCCGTTGAGGCACACCTGTGTGTCCCCGTGGCAGGCAGTGAAGTTGGCCTTGGGCTCTGATGTGGGACACTGGGCCGAGGCGCCGCTGCACATGCCCTGGTGAGCGCACTCCGACTCCTCTCGACACTTCTCGTTCCGGCTCTTGTAACCGCACTCAGGCGTGCAGCACGGGCCCTGACTCGGGCTGACAGCAGAACACACACACTCATGACCCCTGACCCGGGCTGACAGCAGAACACACAAGGTGCGTTCCATTCGACAGGGTCCCTACGCAGTGTTCACTGCTCCCTACTCCCTGAACATGGTATATCAGTTGAAGTGGACTTCACTGACTTCCTGTGAAGTGATGTATCGATGTTCCCTTATTCCCTATGCAGTGCCCTTCGAACTGAACATGTTCGTTCCCTTCGAATTGGAATCTCACTTAAGATGGCAAAATACCCTGTGAAGTCCACTTCGCAGTCCACTTACGGTCGAATGGAACGCACCAACACACTCATGACCCCTGACAGCAGATATCGCACAACTCTCATGACTACGAGAACAGGGACCGTACACCTGAAACCAAAGAAACACTGCTCTCTCCTGATTCGATTCAAGTGGGAAACAATAACCCTAGCCAATCAGATCATGATGCAGAAGTTAATGTGGGCTGGGAAAGGAAAAATGGGAAACACTTTACAATTAAGGTCCTCTTGATTAACATTAGTTATTAAACCCTATTCCCAGAGAAGTGCTGAGGCTCACCCTGAAGAACCGCTTTTTCTTCGTGGAAGTTTTGCATTTGGTGAACTATTAAAGTATTAAAACTCAGTCGAATCAATATTTGGGGACAGTTGTTTAATTATATCAAGTATTATTTAATTAAGTATCGAGGACTCGCTCTCTCTTGTTCATACTAACGCAGCTGTTGGCACTTTCTGTTATTGTTTTGTCCACTGTTGGATTACGAGATAACAAACGGGTACATCTTTAAAACAGTTTAATCTGAAATCAACATCTCTTATCTCCATAATTATTTCTGTGGTGAAATGCTGGATTTCCATGGTCAAATTTTTAATATATATTTACTTGCAGGGATTGATTGTTCACCACAAGACTAGTAGTATGCGCTAACAGAGTAAATAGGGTCCATTTTGATTTGACGGGGACTTTAAGAATGAAGATTTGCGCACTGTGACTAGCGTTCTGTCCAGTGTAACGATCACTGAGAGTACCGACACAGAACCACAGTAGAGGGAACGAGGGGAAATGTGACTCGGCCCGGTGTTTGTACCTGCAGACTTTGTTGGGTTTGAGTTTGCACTTCCTGTTGTCGGGTTGATTAGCATCGTAGCAGCAGTCGTCTTTACACTGATCGCTGTATCCACAGTCACACTCCTCGCCCGGCTCCACCAGCCCGTTCCCACAGATCGGCTGCCCGGACTCTGCCACACACACACACACACACACACACACATCAGCTGCGCTCTGACCTGCAGGACTCGAGTCAGTGGCTCTGATTGGCTCACCCACGAAGCAGCTGCCCCTCTTCTTCTCCAGCACCTGGCTGATGTTCTTGATGCTGCACACGGAGAACTTGTTGTTGTTCAGCTTGTCTCCGGATGTGGCGCGGGCGTACATGATGTAGTTCCCCCGCTCCTTCTTATCCTGGCTCTTGGACTCGCCCGGAGTGCACTCTGACCCGGAGTCATGCTGAGGGCAGAAGAGCATCCGCATCATCACTAGGCCTGCACCATCATGACAAAAATCACAACTGTCGATTACTTCCTTCAATTTGTAATTATCACAATACATGAAATGATGTTTTGAACAGCTTTATACCCGAGGGTCTCAACTCCTTCGCCATGGGGTCCACATTGCTCATCAAGTCCGGCCCACTTTAAGGATTTACACATTTCAGATGTTCTTTATTGGTTATGGGAACATCATGATGAATAATGAAGAAGAACGAACATGATCCTGCATGCTAACCCTTCTCAGCGAACACACCACGGAGCAGTAACGTGATTTATTGGTATTTTACTGATATTTACAGCGTAACAACGTTCATGCTCGTAGTTTCTTTTGCGCTTTATATATAGCGGAGCGATAACGGCGCGTGCCGCATAAGAGTTTGCTACTAGCACAGTATAACGGACGACAGGAAACACTGAGATTTTAGTTATCAACATTTTACATTTGTCCACAACACTAAAGTCGTGGTTCCGCTGTCTGATCATGAACCACATGTGTCCAGTCAGGTGTGTGTGTGTGTGTGTGTGTGTGCATCCACTCACCGGCGAGCCGAAGTTGTGTCCCACCTCGTGTGCGAAGGTGATGTGTGAGACTTTAGGAGGCACGTGTGAGGCGTAGTTCTGCACGGTGATGATCCCGGTGTTCAGAGACTTCTTCTTCCCGTCCGAATACAGCTTACTCTTCTCACAGATGCCTCCAGAGCTCCCTGAGGACACACACACACACATCAGCACACACACACACTCACTCAGGGTTCTCCTGCAGGAGCGCTGGTTTACCGGCGGGAGCCCCGACCCAGGCCAGACCCAGAACCCCGTCGTCGAAGTCCCGGTCCGTGAACACGTAGGCCAGGCAGTAGTCGTCGTGGTTCTGCTCCGAGTTCAGCTCCAGGAACTTCTCCACGCCGATGTTGGCGAAGCGGAACGGGTTCGACCGGTCCCGCTCGTCACTGGTGGTGTTTATCTGAGAACAGCAGCGCAACAAACCAGTCAGAACCAGTCAGACCCGGCTTCAGCTACAGGTTCCCTCCGCTCATTTCCAAACCACTAAATTACAATTTATTTATTGAACAAATCTAGTAATCCAGATGGGCAACGCTTTACTCGAAGGGGTGTGCATAAGACTGACATGACACCTTCATAACCACGACATGACATGTGTCTTGAATATGAAGTAAGATTTATGCATGTTTATGACAAAGTTATGACATTTTGAATGCAAATATGACATTGTTTGAGACGACACCTTGACATAAACCAACACATCATAACCTGCCAGTGTGTTTGTCATGATAACTGGACATTACTAGACAACACCACCTGTCATAAACATGCATTAACCTTACTGCATATTCAAGACAAGTGTCATGTCCGTCTCAAGCACACCCCTTTAAATAAAGTGTCACCGAAATGGGTATAGTTTTAGGGATTCGGGTCATTTAGACCCACGAGGGAAGGATGAAGGTTAATAACACTGGTTTAACCTGAAATAGACTTACTTTTAAACTATTTTCACTCAGAAATGGCAAGTAAATTTTACAAATATTGTAAGTTGAGCGTCAAAGGAGTCGCGTGTCGAGAGGTCGAGTGTCGAGTGTGTCTGTCGATGGAGTCGAGAGTGTTTGCGCGAGCCTCGAGTGACTTTCGCGTGCGTGACTGACCCGGATCCTCTTGACCATGAAGCTGATGTTGCGGATGCCCATGAAGTCTGTGCCCTGGTAGATGGCGTCGATGGCCTTCACATGACTGGAGATCTGAGGAGACACACAGAACATCATCATCATCATCATCCTCCTCCTCTTCATCTCTGCGGTTAGACCCGCTGTACCTGAGCGATGACGGCCTCTCTGGTCTTGTAGTATTTGAAGAACAGGTGATCGGTCTGGATAAACAGCTGGCAGGTGTTCTTCTCCACCTGAGTCATCCTCTTCTTCCTCAGTAACGCCTGATCCAGCGCTGACGACCTCTCCTGCAGAGACAGAGGTCAGTCACCTTCATTCATACAGCGCTGATAACAATATAGACTGTTTCACAGCATCTTCACAGTGAGAGCAGGAGATCACAGCAACAGATGGAATAAAGACATTGTCCAGCTAGAGCTAGGTTTTGATTGGTTCACTTCTGTTGCAAAGATCATTAGCGATAACATGACACCGTTCTAACAACACAAAAATTAATCTGTGAGGATGAGGCGCTGAAGAGTGTCTGACCTTCACCGGATCCTCCTGGTATCTCTTCATCCGCTCAAACACTGACGAATCCGCACAGCCGCCCTCCGGCCCGTATTTATGAGGATAATCTGACGGACACAGATCAGCACATCATTATTAGCTAAACACATCCACGAGCACAGCTAAGAACAACAAGTTAAGGGTCATGTGACCGCTGAATGCACCATCGACCAATCAGAATCAAGCATCGCAGAGAGACGTGTAATCAACAGGAGTCAATGGGCTGTTAGTTTAAGGGACAAAGTTACCGCTATAAAAAACACGAGTCCTGTTGGTCGCTTGAGGATTTAACGTCAAGCCGATCTCCATGGCTACTTCAATCACACACACACACACACATACACACACACACCACAGGCTAACACGTGCGCACACACACACACACACACATCACAGGCGAACACGTGCGCACACACACACACACATCACAGGCTAACACGTGCGCACACACACACACACACACACATCACAGGCGAACACGTGCGCACACACACACATCGCTTTTGAAGTAAAACTGTAGATGCAGTGTATGGGTAATATCGAACTGAATCGATGACATGATGATCGTAATGGAGCCGAACTGTGAGACCAGTGTAACCTACACACCCCTACTGAACACACACACCGATGTCGTCCTCGTGGTAGATGACGGAGTGTGTGTGTGTGTGAGACTCACTGATGTCGTCCTCGTGGTAGATGACGGAGTGTGTGTGTATGTGTGTGTGTGTGTGTGAGACTCACTGATGTCGTCCTCGTGGTAGATGACGGAGTGTGTGTGTGTGTGTGTGTGTGAGACTCACTGATGTCATCCTCGTGGTAGATGACGGAGTGGAACGGCACGTTCTTGTCCTGCAAGTATCTCTCGGCCGGCTCCACGTAATACGTGCCTCTGTGAGTCTGGATGAAGCCCTCGAACCTCCCGTCCACAACAGAGCCGTGCGTCAGCGTGCCCTGCTCTCCTGAGGAACACACACACACACACACGTGCTTCAGTCGGGGCTGCTGACCGTAGATCCACTGTAGATGTGTGAGGTGTGTGTGTGTGTGCTGACCGTAGATCTCTCCAGTATAGATGTGTGTGTGTGTGTGTGTGTGTGTGTGTGTGTGTGTGTGTGTGTGTGTGTGTGTGTGTGTGCTGACCGTAGATCTCTCCAGTATAGATGTGTGAGGTGTCGTACTCCAGTTCTCCTCCACTCATCTCCAGTTTGAAGTCTTCGGAGAACAGCCGTGTGTCTCGCTTCATCCGCAGGTTAAAGTGTCTGCAGGTGGAAAACACGCATTTCAAACATGACGACTATTTTACAAATGTTTTCAGTGGCAGAACCAGTAAGTGTGTGGATCCTGTCTCTCACCTGTGTGTGTGTGTGTGTGTGTGTGTGTGTGTGTGTCTCACCTGCCGTGCGCGTGGAACTGCAGCTCCAGCTCGCGCTCCGAGTGTGTGAGCGCTCTCCTGGCCCGCTGGTGCCGGTCCTGAAGCTGATCCGGGTCGTACGACAGGCCCTCGTAGTGACGGATGTACTTGTTCAGGGGGTTGCCATAGTAACCTGCTCACCACACAGACACCAGCGTTAGAGATTGGGCCCCGGTGATCACATGACTCACACACACCATATTTGATTTTCTCACTTTTGCTGCAACCACTCACAAAAATATATATTTCAATCTATTTACAGTCAGAAAATTACAAAATATCTTCGTGGACCTGATCTTCACTTAAAGGGTTAGTTCTCTTTAAATGAGCATTAGCCCATCGAGCCATCCTCGGCGTATGTGACTCTCTCCTGTCAGACGAACACAATCAGAGTTATATTAAAGTTTTTATATTATTATTATTATATCGTTATATTAAACATGTCCAGGCTCTTCACAGCTTTATAATGGCACTGGGTTGCAACAAACAGTTAAAGATCAAAATCATGCATCTATCCGCCGTAAACGCACATCACGTGGCTCTGGGGTTAGCAAACGCCTTCTGAGGCAAAACTATATGTGTTTATGTTAGAAAAATATTCATATTTAACATATTACAAAGTACAATCTTAGCTTTCTGCCAAACGTACGGCTTGAGGGAGAGTAAATCATGGGCTAACGCTCATTTGAAGAGAACTAACCCTTTAATAACCTAATGATTTTTGGCATGAAAGAAAAATAGATAATCTTGCCCCAACAGTGCTGTTATATGAAATATGATCATTCCTGTGCTGAACATCTGAAGGTCTTGATGAAGATGAGCACTAATATTTAATATGTATAATGAAACATTCACTCGCTGCATGACGAGTGGAGCACTGGATCATTATTCTTGCGGTTTTCTGGGTTTATTCTGTCAGATTATTCTGTCACAACATAAACATTGTCCTGGTTTGAAATTGACGTTAACTGAAACAAAAAAGCATTAAAATAAACTAGTTATTTTTGTAAGTTAATTTGAATGAAAATTATAAAAAATTAAGTAAGACCAAAACTAAACTTAAAAATAAGTTTAAAAAAATGATTAAAACTTGAACTAAATTGAAAGCACTGGATGGGTGGATGGATGGAGGGGTGGATGATGGATGGGTGGGATCACGAGGGTCATGTGATCTGCCAGCCCATATACATATATATATATATATATAGAGAGAGAGAGAGAGAGAAAAAAACTTGTTTTTTTTTGTTTGTTTGTTTATTTATTTTGTTTGTTTGTTTTCTGATATATATGCATGTATTTCATGCATTTGTTTACTGATTCATTTACTGATTATTTGTTCATTGCCTATGTAATGGCCAATGCTTTGGCAATACTGTATAAGTCATGCCAATAAAGCTCATTTGAATTTGAGAGAGAGAGAGAGAGAGAGAGAGAGAGAGAGAGAGAGAGAGAGAGAGAGAGAGAGAGATGCCTAATTTCTTAACTGAAAACCAATTTACCAAATCATTTTCACCTTTTTAATGCCACAGAATGTGACATCACGAAAGATGTGATTTTGACACCATTTAATAATGAGGGATGATTGCTGTCATCTCATAAATGGACAAATACTGGTGTATTAATCAGATATAGCGCTGTAATAATCAGATCTAACACTGACTGGTTTATCAGTCGTAAAGAGCTCATCGGTGTAATATAGGCCCAATTCATACACAGAAACAAAGATGATGAGTATGAAATATATGCAGCTTCGTTATAACACAATCACCTTCATGTGTCACTATATGAATGATATTGCCTGATTATTAAGATATGAATCAGGACTGAAGATGATGTGTTTATGGGAGTGTTGATGTAATCATCCATCTTAAGCTGGATGTGTGTCCGCTCAATCTCGAGTCTCGACCCACTCAACACATCTGAGCTCAGAGACCGAACCCGTCCACGGATCCGCTCGCCACGGAAGCCGTCGAGAACGCCGAGGACAACGCGTTCGTCCGGGGAACACCGCAATAACGGTCGCGGTGATCGGGGATCTGGGAATAACGGTCGCGGCTTTAGCATTAGCACAGATGCTCGCGCGGAGCCTGACTGAATAAAGCCGAACCGGGTCGAAACACTCGCTCACACACACTCACTCACCTCGAGCGGACCGGAAGGCGCATGAGAAGCACAACAGCACCGAGAACACGACCGTCATCGCCGATAAATGCATGTTTAGCGCATGGATGATGGACGGGCTGGGTTTTATTGTTTACAGCTTCAGTCTCGGGTTTGGGGCTTTGCGTGCTGACGTCAGACGCACTGAGACACGAGCACGAGCCCCTCCCCCACGCCCGAGCAGCAGAAAGAGCAAAGTTATGCTTTTGTAAATCAGAATTATGGGATATAGAAGACGAGTCCAATGAAATAAATCTGAATGACTTTATGAAATATTATTTATGAGGTTTATATCAGTCTGCCAGTAAGCGGAGTCATGTTTACAGCAGTTTTACAAAGGAAGTTCAGATATAGTGCGAGGCAGTTTCTACTTTCGGGATGTAATGTCATGCTGTAATTTACCGTCTTATATGACATTATTTCTCCTTCTTACAGGCCTTAAACACGCATGAACATGCAGCTGTAGATCCAGCTTTACACAGACAGAGTATCTGCATTACTGTATTTAAACATGACTGCACACAATAGGTTAATGTTCACCAAACTGAATAGAATTTATTCTTGTAGTTTTTGTCACAAAGTCTGTTGTGTTTCCATGGGGTCTCCATTCATCCTGGAACTACATTTCCCATAATCCTTGTTTGTTCCCATCGCTTGTGATTGTACCCAGCTCTTCCCATTTATGTTGTTGGTGTCTGTTCATAATATCCCGTCTGTGTTAGTTCATTACTCATTATGTCACTCGTCTACTCTAAAGCCTGGTTTCAAATTTGTTCTCGGTTTTGTTCATTTGCTCTGACTGAATAAATGATTTGACACTAGCATCTGAAGGGGGTGATCAACATCCCTTGCCTTACCTATTTCTTTTATAAAATCAATAATTACGTACATTATTACTTAATCATTTACTGACATGTATATATATATATATATATATATATATATATATATATATATATATACACATACATGTATAAATATACAATTATATCTATTTATAGATGATTAGGATTCTGATTATTTGTACTTTGACTCTTGCATGGATGGCAATTGTGATTGCCCTGATTACTTTATTGCTAACGATGGTTTTACTGTTTTTATTCCAGTGTCCATGACTAGCAGAAAAACCCTGAACGTTCAAACTAAAGGAATTCTGCCGATGAACAAAAGCATCAAAACTACAAACAAATCCTGTCGATGGACACCGAGGGTCAAACTGAGGAAAGCCTCTCAGAAAACACACTGTAAAAAATTATTCTGATTTTAACGGTAAAAGACCGTTTAAATGCAACGGACAGACTTCCGACCGTCAAATTAAAAGATCACATTCAGTAACAAAAGCTAGTTTGTTTTGTTTTTTTAAACAAAAAACAAAAGCTAGTATAGACCATTACAACATAAAACACTACATTTTAATTTTATTTCATTTTTTCATTTTATTTGAGGCACACAGACACCCCTTCAGCACTCAGACGTCTTCCTGGCTTCAGGATCCGGACGCTCTGATCTACAGCACTGAGGCTACACAGAGATCTCGCTTGAGCAGAAACCATCAGAACGTTTCCCTCCGCAGGAACAGCCGTAGCTGGAGAAAACTGCAGAGACACCTGGAACAAGGACCAACACGCTGTAGGACACACACCTACATTCCCAAATTGAAAAATAGCCACATCATACAGTACCTGGTTCTGGAAACACATATCAGTATCAAACGGCACACTAGCAGCAACTACATTCTCACTGGGAAGACCGCTGTGGACCAGAATCTGCACTGCTGGAGCCATATCGACGCTTACAGACAACTGGAACGTCTCGGAGCCGCTTGTGACTACATCACCAGCCTTTGCTTTAAACCGTCTGAAATCCATGGAGGACAATCACTCCTTTGGAAAATACCTGACAGAAGACATGGGTGTGCAAGTTGCGTAACAAACAGACCAGACTTACAAAACTTAACTACAAAACTAATGTCCACTCACCATATAGATTATGTCAGCACTGTAGCTACTAGCCTCTCCAACCAATGTGGACTGACGGACGGACGGAACGAACGAACGACGGACGGACGGAACGAAACGAACGACCGACGGACGGAACGAAACGAACGGCCGACGGACGAACACGGACGGAACGAACGACCGACGGACGGAACGGACAGAACATTAAAAGATCACATTCAGTAACAAAAGCTAGTATAGACCATTACAACACAAAAGACATGTTTTCATTTTTTCTTAAAGTCATGTACCAATTTCTAGAACAAGAATCAAACTAACAGACATACTGACACTGAAGTTGCGACAAAAACTCAGGCCCTTGTACTTCAGACACTAGGGTACACTGAAGTGGCATTCTAATCAGAAGTGCCACACACTGAAATATTCAGATTTAAAGCCCAAACAAAAACCTGATTGAGGCACACAGACACCCTTCAGCACTCAGACGTCTTCCTGGCTCCAGGATCCGGACGCTCTGATCTACAGCACTGAGGCTACACAGAGATCCCGCTTGAGCAGAAACCATCAGAACGTTTCCCTCCGCAGGAACAGCCGTAGCTGGAGAAAACTGCAGAGACACCTGGAACAAGGACCAACACGCTGTAGGACACACACACCAACATTCCCAAATTGAAAAATAGCCACATCATACAGTACCTGGTTCTGGAAACACATATCAGTATCAAACGGCACACTAGCAGCAACTACATTCTCACTGGGAAGAACACTGTGGACCAGAATCTGCACTGCTGGAGCCATATCGACGCTGACAGACAACTGGAACGTCTCGGAGCCGCTTTGGTGACTGCATCACCAGCCTTTGCTTTAACCGTCTGAAATCCATGGAGGACAATCACTCCTTTGGAAAATACCTGACAGAAGACATTGGTGTGCAAGTTGCGTAACAAACAGACCAGACTTACAAAACTTAACTACAAAACTAATGTCCACTCACCATATAGATTGTCAGCACTGTAGCTACTAGCCTCTCCAACCAATGTCGACTGACGGACGGAACGAACGACCGACGGACGGAACGGCCAACGGACGGACGGAACGAACGACCGACGGAACGAACGAACGGAACGGCCGACGGACGGACGGACAGACGGAACGAACGACCGACGGACGGATTGAACGAACGACCGACGGACAGACACGGAAGGAACGAACGGCCGACGTACACAGACGGAACGGCCGACAGACGGAACGAACGACCGACGGACGGACGGAACGAACGAACGACCGACGGACGGACGGACGGAACGAACGACCGACGGACACGGACGGAGCGGCCGACAGACGGACGGACGGAACGAACGACCGACGGAACGACCGACGGACGGAACGACCGACGGATGGAACGACGGAACGGACAAAACATTAAAAGATCACATTCAGTAACAAAAGCTAGTATAGACCATTACAACACAAAAGACTACATGTTTTCATTTTTTCTTAAAGTCATGTACCAATTTCTAGAACAAGAATCAAACTAACAGACATACTGACACTGAAGTTGCGACAAAAACTCAGGCCCTTGTACTTCAGACACTGAGGTGGCATTCTAATCAGAAGTGCCACACACTGAAATATTCAGATTTAAAGCCCAAACAAAAACCTGATTGAGGCACACAGACACCCTTCAGCACTCAGACGTCTTCCTGGCTCCAGGATCCGGACGCTCTGATCTAAAGCACTGAGGCTACACAGAGATCCCGCTTGAGCAGAAACCATCAGAACGTTTCCCTCCGCAGGAACAGCCGTAGCTGGAGAAAACTGCAGAGACACCTGGAACAAGGACCAACACGCTGTAGGACACACACCAACATTCCCAAATTGAAAAATAGCCACATCATACAGTACCTGGTTCTGGAAACACATATCAGTATCAAACGGCACACTAGCAGCAACTACATTCTCACTGGGAAGACCGCTGTGGACCAGAATCTGCACTGCTGGAGCCATATCGACGCTGACGGACAACTGGAACGTCTCGGAGCCGCTTGTGACTGCATCACCAGCCTTTGCTTTAACCGTCTGAAATCCATGGAGGACAATCACTCCTTTGGAAAATATCTGACAGAAGACATGGGTGTGCAAGTTGCGCAACAAACAGACCAGACTTACAAAACTTAACTACAAAACTAAAGTCCACTCACCATATAGATTGTCAGCACTGTAGCTACTAGCCTCTCCAACAAATGAATACTCCACGGTCACTGGAAACGAAGCACCACATTTGAGCGGCTGATTGAGCTTCACTATAGTCAGTTCACTAAACAATGGGTTGTCAGGAGTAAGAAGTAGGAGAAGCTGAACAAACCTTGTATCTGTAGTGAAGTATGGCGATTCATAACCATAAGAAACCTCTGGATTAGTACTTGCCTGGGGAAGATCAAACTTAATCAGTTTCATGCTAGAGAAAGTCTTAATTTTTACAAAATACAAGTCGTACCACCAGATTCAGACCAGCCTTAAGATTAGCAGTGTTTAGGGAGAACGCAGCCCGTCCATTCTTGTTTGGGGTTAGATTCAACAGCAGTTTGTTGGGCCAGTTGCTCCCCTCCATGAGATATACAGCTTTGTTTGTAATGGACACCATTGCAGATTGACACCATTACATCTGCGAGAGAAAGTCCAAACAAACAGTGAAGAATATCAACTTTGTGGCTTAAAGTGCATGTCTTGTAAAGATGATAAAGAGTATATGGTTGAGATCAGCCAATAGCTCACCTGTACCCTCCTCAGTAACATTCACATTTACAAGAAATGAGTCTTGCATTTGGTGTTGAAAAACACTGACGTATCAACAGTAAGAGAGGCACAGCCCGTGGCATTCATCTGGTAGGAGAACAAAGACACAATTAAGTCAAGCACAGGCAAAAGGAAAACCCTCATTGGTAAGGCAGGAGTCACACACCTGCGGTTTGAGTCAGGCACTGTCTGGTCATGATGAAGCAGACTGTATGGAAATGGATCACGGCACACTTCTCTAAGGCTTGACCAGGTACAGGTTGGCCATATGTATATCTGGGAAACATCAGAACAAGATAAAGAACTGACCAACCACAAGACAAGAAAATAAAGCATCACTCACTTGGCACAAGACTCAACTTTCAATCCCATAACTGCAACGCTGTAGGTCTGCTGTGCGTTTACGGTCACGTCAAACTTGGGCAAAACTAAACCAGAAGCAAAGTGCTTTAGGTTAAGGCCTCAGATCTGTCATTGAACTTTCCTTACACAACAACTTACCGTATTTTCACCTCAAACTTGGGAGACTAGTGTCGGGACTCTTCACTCCATGGCTACTCCATTCGGCGACGCCATGGCCTAGTCGCGGTCGCCTAGGTCTTTGTGTCTCACTGCCTAATCGCTTCTCCGGCTACATGGATGTGCTCCACCACCTCCGGTAATCCCCTTGGTAGTGTTGGGACTCTTCATTCCATGGCTACTCCATTCTGAAACGCCGCCGTGGGATGCAGTCCTGAGTGTGGGCTGGTGCTCCGTCTGCTCTTCCCTGCTCAAGGCCGTCCCCCCTGCTGTCACAACCACCTGCACCAACCTTTTTCACAGTTCTATTCGACGGACGGACGGACGGGGGGGGGGGGGGTGCGGACGGACGGACGGCCGGGGGGGGGGGGGCGGACGGACGGACGGCCTGGGGGCCGGGGGACAGACGGACGGCCAGGGGGGGGGATGGACGGACGGCTGGGGGGGCCGGGGGACGGACGGCCGGGGGGGAGATGGACGGACGGCCGGGGGGCGGGGGGGGGGACGGCCGGGGAGGGGACGGACAGATGGCGGACAGATGGCCGGGGGGACGGACGGACGGCCGGGGGGGGGGGGGGGGGGGACGGACAGATGGCCGGGGGGGACGGACGGACGGACGGATGGCCGGGGGGGGGACGGACGGATGGCCAGGGGGGGACGGACGGATGGCCAGGGGGGGGACGGACGGACGGATGGACGGCCTTGAGCAGGGAAGAGCAGACGGAGCACCAGCCCACACTCAGGACTGCATCGCATGGCGGCGTCGCAGAATGGAGTAGCCATGGAGTGAAGAGTCCCAACACTACCAAGGGGATTACCTAAGGGGAGGTGATGGATGTGGAGCACAGAGAAGCGATGAGGCAGTGAGACACAAAGACCTAGGCGACCGCGACTAGGCCACAGCACCGACTCCCTGAAGTGGAAGCAGCGATCATTTGTCCACTGACCAATCCGGTTATCTTTGTCCTTTAGGTTATCCTAACCCCAACCATCTGCACAGAAAGAGAAGTGGAAAAAGCTGCTTTGGCTCCATTCAAAGTCTTACACCGAAGCAAACTCACCTCCACCACGACCAGATTCTACTGCAAGACAGACAGGAATAATAAACATTTACAAGCGGCCATTGAAGTTGAAATTTCTGCATCTTAAAAGAACCTGCATTTAATTTGCTTTTCATTTATGGTCAGAACACTCAAAATGGTGAAACATCTGTTCTCTTCAGTTGCTCTGAAGACCTTCAACCTTCAGCTTCTGCACCGAATCTAGATCTACCCGAGGAGCCTGTAGAGAACTTCAGTTAACATACAAGAAACCGAGACAAAAAGAGCCACACGCATCCAGACCTGGAAACAAAAGCAGCAGTGAAAGGGCTTTGAAAGGGGTTTCAGAAGAGTTATGCATAATTTGGAGTCAGATCCAGACTCAATCACCGCAGGGAAATTCACCATGAATAACCTGTGGGAAAAAACAAACAAACACAGGACCATCATCTATTTGATCACTGATGGCGACAAACGAAGAGTAGTAGGCTAATGGTGTTGAAGGAAAGCTTCAGTGGTTCACAAAGCTTATTTTCACCATCTATAAAGTTTAGTAAACAACTCCAACATAAAAACAGAATGCTTCTGTTCACTTCAAAGCCTAATGGCACTGACCTGGATCAAGTCCATCAACAGCAAAGAGAAAATGGGCAAAAATGAGCTTCTTCCAAACACAAATCTCCCTCACAGACACGAGGACAAATCACCCAAGACTAACCTTTATCAAGTCACTCTTATCAGACACCTTTAAGCTTTTCTTAAGATATATGATTTCACTGCTACTGAAGCGTCTCTGAATCATCTCTACACTGACGACAGCGATATATATCTTAATACAGGCTATCAGGAACGCATTCATCTCGTTAATTCAATTAATTAACCACCACCTGGCAGCAATTAATGTTTTCATTTGATTAGGAGTTCCAACTGGCATTGATTTGAAACACGACACATTATGGAGGTTAGCGGGACGAAATATATAGCCTATATATTGAAGATATTACTGAACATTTATTTGACCATAGCAAAAGTAAGTTTCTTGTGTTAATTTTAGACAATTCTGATATTATTTTATCTTATATCTGTTCATTAACAGTTGAGATAGTTCTTGAATGCTGATCTGACAGCAGAAGACAGACTAGCCGGGTTTAAATCGAGTAAATATGAGAGTGATTTGCGCGCAAAGAGACCTTCGCGAAAACTCTTCTCCTGATTCACAAATACTTCGTAAACGTCGATGTGAAATGTGTGTGTTAATGAATTCCAACCTGTTGTAAATGGGATGCGCGTTCACGTTCATTTTCAATTACCGTAAATGCACTATTAAAAGTTATTAATTCAGGTAGGACAGAAGGCCTAGGTGTGAAATGCATATACAAATTATATAGACCATTTCACAAGATGTAAACAACACTGGTCCAGAAGCACTTCCTTTTTTAGTTTTTTAACACTACATAAAAGCTTGGATAAAATACAACCAACAGAACATTTAAAAATGAATCAAAAAGTTAAACAAACATCTTTAAGATGTTTTCTTTACATGTGAAATAAAGAAAACCGTTACAAACTGAAACAGGAAGTGTTTCTGGACCAGTGTTGTTTGTGAAATGGTCCTCGAATGTGTTGGAATATTTCACCATTATCAGCCTTTTCACCGTCTGTATCACTCCGCCTGTCTGTGTTTGCCCAATTTGCATTATTAAGCCAGTAGGTGGCGACAAGTGACTGTCTTTATGAGTGCACAATTGAACTTTAACTTAACAGATTAGTGCCAAAAATATTGATTTGCTAACCTTAGAAAGAAACTGGTTGCTGAAACCAATCTTTAATGCTAATATGTAAATTGCTCCTTTTTCTCTGGACACAAAAAGATTTGCACTGGTGTTTGATTGAAAATAACATCTATGTAAAATAATCCTCGAAAGATTTCTCATTAAGGCCATTCCTGTTTGGAATATGGATTGTGTATTGTCAACAATAAGCAGAAACATTCTGCATTTGCATCCAAGCATGGATCATTCATTTCAACATCCTCAGTCTCATATTTAAGAATCTGTAATATTTTATGCTACTGCCCACTGATATGCTTTTAAAGCTATTGTTATACCATTTTTATGACCTTCAAACACCTTAAAATGCACACATGTAGGTCTGAGAAATCCACATTTTCTCGGGGGATTATGCCCCCGAACCCCCCTGACTTCCTCACCTTTGCATGTGTGTGACTGTGTGGTAATGTGGGCTGGTGTGGTTATAGTGCCACCAGAGATGTTTTTTCCTAACCAGTCACTCTGCCCCGTGTATAGGCCTGCAATACACATTATTCTCTGTATCGAATCATGTTATCTTATTCCCCACCCCAGCCCCTGATGTTTTTAAAACTTAGAAACGCCCCTGACGGCCAATGGTCATCATCACACTGCCACTGGACGTCATCTGGACCTGACAAGAACACACAACCTCACATTTGGGACAGACCATGAAAAGAGGCTAGATGAATATTTGTAAATGTTTAAAGGAAACGCATGTAGCTTATCTCAATCCTGAGTTTTGAAACTCATTTCCTCACTCATTTCTGCTTGTAGTTTAAAGGTGCAGTGTGTAAGTTTAGCAGCATCTAGTGGAGAGGTTGTGAATTGCACCCAACAGAAGTTACGGTGGTGGCCGTCAGGAAGTGATGTCGTCGTCTGAGACAGCAGCGAGTAGCCAGTTCAGAATCAGCACTGAGGTTTCTTTACAAAGATATGTTTACTTTATTATTCAGCAGCTTCTTTGCCTGAAGAACAACATTGATTAAATGTTCTCAAGAATAGTGAGGTCCATATTTCAGCACTTGTAATCATGTATTAAAAACATTTTGCGATAAAGAATGAGAAACTGACAGCAGACGTGTTTGTTTGGTCTCTATAAAGTTTAATTGAAGAGTTGAATGAAGCAGGTAATAATCACGGACAGGTTAGTCTAGTTAAAGAGCCGGACCTGTGCTTGAACTGAACCAATGAGTATGAAGACCAGTCCATTCAATCCCATCATGCATCTGGCCTCTGAATAACTGCAGGCCGCTAAAGCTCAAGGCATCCATGCGTTTGGCAAATCTCTCTCACGCAGATGAAGATCAGGAGAAGCTTCATCATCATCATCATCATCATCTTTAAACACAAGACCCTTCTGATCCTGTACGAGCGTTTCTCCTGATCAATAACACAAAATATACGCCCATCATCAGATGAATGGCCAATCGTATCATCCGTTTATAAAGGAGTGAACAGAAATCATAAGATTTCAGAACTGGAATGAATCAGTTTTTGTTTGAATCAGCAACACTGAATATAAAGTTCAGACTGAAATGTTCATTAAAGTTAGCGGTGCAGCGACTGTTACAAACATTATTCTGAAAATAAAACGCCGTTAAATGACATTCATCACGAATCACCTGCGAACGACAGAATGATACAGTCAAAACAAAAGCGTTTGTGCCAAAGAATCAATTATAAATCACTGAATCTGTTCATCACGCTCGCTTATATTCATTCGCTCGTTTCATCGAAACACAAACGCATTGGTTTACATCAGCTGATCATGTCTCATCAGACACAAACGTCCACTTCATTCAGCCGCTGACGCTCCAAAGCACAAATTATAGTTCAAAAAATCGAGAGGTATGCTAATATAAAAACGGGTACGATACCGAATAGACCAATTTCTATATAAATTATTGCATATATAATAATCCAGTAAAAGTGAAAGAATCGTTTGCTTTGACTGTATCCGTCACAGAAATAAGAGAAAGCCACTGATCTGACGACGACATAAAGACGAACATGAGACGCTCAGACGCTGATCCGTCACCGCTGAACCTCACAGGAAGTCTCGCGGCAGCAGTTCCTGTGGCAGATCCTGCTGGACCAATCAGAGAGTGAGATGTTGTAAGGCATATTGAACTGACATTGAACACACGCTCTGTCCCGAATCTTCAGTCCGGACCGACTCGGGAACATAAGCGTGTTTCATCCG